CTTCAGTCTGACACTCAGGCTAGTCCCGTCACCTAGAGAGTTGCCGGATTCTGCATCAGCAGCAAAATTTTATCAAAAATATCAGTTTCCAAACTCTCACTTAACATAAATAGTCCTATGCAAGGATGATTAGCGCTCCTGAGCAGGCGTACGCATTTGAACTCAATGCTTAGCAAAGTTCAAGTGCACACGCTTGCCCAGGCGCACTGCTCATAGGCTGAATTGTTTTAAAAGGTAAGGGTTTGGAAAGTGCTGAAGACATGACTGGATAAATGAAACTTGAACTTTGCTGCATGAGTTGTGTGATAGTTAGTAAATGGATGTTTTGTTATAGTTTTTCTGTTTTTAAATGCAGACTCCATTTAACTCCAATTCATTAAGAAGTTTCTCTGTTTTTGGATTCTTCATTCACCAGGGAGGCATTCAAGCAAAACGGTTTCCTTCACAAATTCAATTTCACAGGGCTGAGTAATCTGAGTACTTTGAAAACAAATAATCATTTTGTGGGTGAAATATTCCTTTAAACGATTTTTTTTTTTACTGTTGGAACAAAACTTTTGTTTACTAACAAGTTCAGATTTATCAAGACAGTACCTGGAAGATTAATAAATATTGAAATAATCAAAAGCTGCAGCTGTAGTTTACTCAAAAAAGAAAGGATGTATTAAAGTGTTTATCGACACCAATGTTTACTGATTCAGTGTTTTTTATTTGTCTGTCAGATTAAAGATGAGGGTCTGATGGATGATGAGCATGCAGATGAGGAGGAGACGCCACAGCAGTCTGAAAATGAAGAAAGCATAATTGGTACTGTGGAAACAATATAATCATATTAGTGGTCAATTTATTTTGGTCATTAGCATTATTGCTGGTAATGTGGTTACTGTGATTACCGTTGCTGTTTACTAGCGTCATCATGATTCTGTTTACTGTTTTATCTGCATTACTGATCATCACTCAGCCTGTCCTTTTCTCCTGTAGTTCCTGCCAGTAAATCCTACACAGTTGCCATCATCAAACCAGATGCTGTTGCTCACGGCAAGGCAAATGAGATCATTATGAAGGTGCGCACAGACTAATGCTGCTCACATTCTGAGAAGACAAGATTGTCTCAAGCATTCCTGCTGATATTAGTTCATTATCCTGACAATACTCCCCTGGCTAGATCCAAGATGCTGGGTTTGAGATCCTGGCCCATGAGGAGCGCACGCTGACTGAGACTGAGGCTCGAGATTTTTACCAGCACAAAGCAGAAGAGGTATGGTGAGAACAGAACGGAATAGCAGCAAAAAGGCACATCTCACACAGACATGTGACAAAACATTTGACAGATAGAGACACTTGTGTTTGTATCTCACTGCAGAGATTGGCACACTAGTCAAACCGCTGATGGGTTCAGTGTATGTTTGTGAGGTTCGTCTGGGCAATTTGAATTATGAGTCAACATCCTAATGGGAGAGCAGTCACGACCAGTGCAAAATTCATTTCAATTAGTTTGCAATACATCACACTTCCATCTGCATTTCTGCACAGGGCTCAAAATAGATCCGCTGTGTAAGCAGCTTTTTTCCCTTTTTTTTTGCTTATTGCGCTGTTTGTGATGAGACCAAATGATTAGAGATTCAGAAATACAAAACATATGAGGAAAGGTGGCTATGTGAAGCAATTATGTCCGTAAAATGATGCAGTGTATATATTGCTTTTGCCTTTTAATAATATATCCGCACTAATTTTCTTCTGTCTCTTCCCGCCTAGAAAATGTAAGGCCTGATTCAAGATGTAAAAATGCATTTGTCACATTAACACATGTGTATGCTCTTGTCTCTGTGTGCATGTGATGGTGGTTTGTAGGCTTCCTTTGAGGACTTGGTGCAGTATATGTCCAGTGGTCTGTCCCATATTCTGGTACTGTCTCAGGTTGAGGGCTCAGCAAACGTTGTGCCAGCATGGCGTGAGTTTATTGGCCCAGCAGACATAGAGGAAGCCAGGAGAGAGAAACCAGAAAGGTCAGTTACTGGAAATTATACATATGCTACATCCATAAAAAGAGTCGTGAAAACATCAACAACAGCATAACCACTGTAAGATATGTTACGATCCCGTGTCTTTGTAAAGAACATTTGTTTATAGCATTGAGATTTGTTCATGCACAGTTGATTGCAACAGTGTGAAACAATCTCAGGATTAAGTCTGGGAAAACGAATGAACAGCACATTCTCGCCTGCTCTGTCAGACACACCCAAACATTATGCTTCTCTCTGGTGGAACACCAGCCGAGCAACCATCTGCTCTCCTCTCCTTTCTCCCCCCTGGCTTCCTGCAGCTTGCGGGCACAATACGGCACACAGACACTGTTCAACGCAGTGCACGGTAGTGAGGACATCGACCAGGCCAGCAGGGAGCTCGCCTTCTTCTTCCCCAACTTTAGGACGGCCTCGGTAACGGAGCAGGATGGGGAGGAAGAGCGTGTGGAGAGGACACTGGCTCTTATCCGGCCTGACGTTGCCAAAGAAAACAGAGGTGGGGCCCATGCCAAATGCACAGGCACCAGTACACACACAAAGGTGGTTCATACTGACATGGTGGGGCTGCTTCTTGATCCCCATGGAAAAGGTGTTGAATGGAACAGGTGTAGTTCCAGATTTTTTTGTAATTGATAACAACAAACAAACTATGGCTATCTATATCAAAACTATCAATTATTATCATTAGCTAAAACTAATGCAGACTAATAGAATGCAATAAATAAACATTATGGGCCTTTTTTAAAGCACATGGTCTAAAGGTCATGGTGCATGTGCATTTAAGCTGTGTCCAACTCCACTTTTGCCAGTTAAACAGCGCATAATCTGGGTGCAAAGTAAGGTGCAAGGGGTTGTATTTAGTCCCTTAATTGATCATAGGTGTGTTTTGGGTCAATCAGAATGTCATCTCTCACTCCCTTTAAAAGTCAGGTGTAGCAATTTGGAGAGGTTTTCTGCTGAGAGCAATGCAGTAAGAGTGGTAATGTCACTGCAGCAGATATATTTGGACATTTAAGCAGCAAAACTGGCCCTCAAAGTGGTGGCTGCATTGGTCTGAAACTAGCATTAACAATTGCTGTACACTCCTTTGCACAGGGTGTAAGATAACTTTCATGAAAGTAGGATTTATCGCAGGACCATTACTTTGAAATGCATTAGCTAGCTGTACCTAATAAACTGGCAAATGAGTGTAAATTGTGTTCCGCAGAGGAGATCTTAGCTCACATCCACAAGTCAGGCTTCACCGTGGCTCTCCAAAGAGAGGTGATGTTGACAGAGGAGCAGGTCAGACAGTTTTACTCCCAACACGCTGAGCAGGACTACTTCCCTGCATTGCTCCAAAACATGACCAGGTAACTTAGACACGCTCTTCTGAAATCTAAAGAGTAGTTTGTTACTGCAGATGTGCATTAAACATGTATATTTACAGTGGGCCGGTGCTAGCTTTGGCATTGGCCAGAACGGGGGTTGTCGGTCACTGGAAGAACATCCTCGGTCCTTCTGACGTTAATAAGGCCAAAGAGGAGAGTCCTGAGTGGTGAGTGATGTGTGGCTCTATTTATTTACACAATTAAATGAGCCAAGAGAAGTCACTGTGGTATTATTACCGATGGAATTTTCACTGTTGATCTATCTGACAGCTTGTTAGAAAGAACTCTGCATTTTTATTTGACCTCTTGTTTTTACCTTGTCAGGTATTCAAGGTGGACATAGACACATTTTTTGCATTAACTTATCATTATGAACTAAATGTTGAGTTCTCAGTGTAATGAGTATAGAATGGTTACACCATCTGCACTTAGACTGTTACCCTGTAAGCCTCGCTTTCACTGTGTAGTTCTGTTAGGCAACAGGAACGATTTCTTGGAAAAATGAAGGCTCCATTTACAGCACCGAGGAAGTGCGTCAACCATTACGCTACCATAACAGGAAGAAGATACTACTTTTGTTTGTCCCGCTAGGTATCTGTAGCTATCCCAAGTTACAAAAGAGTATTAATGGAAGTACTTTGCAGTTACAATCCCCAGTAGAGGAAATGGCGGAAGGCTCTGGGGAAGACGTAAAGCAATCAGGTTGTCTTTGAGATAGCGGAGCCAACACCTGGAAATGCTTGGGGGGTTTCCACTTTAACTTTTCAGGTTATTATACACAACCATTTGATTAAAGGTCTAGAACGTAGGATTTATTTGCATCTAGTGGTGAGGTTGCAGAACTTAAACTTCCCCTGTGTGCCAAGCTTGTAGGAGAACTACGGTGGCCAATGCGAAAACATGAATGGCCTTATCTAGAGCCAGTGTTTGGTTTGCCATTCTGGACTACTGAAGAACAACTTGGCCTCACTCAAGACGTCGATGTTTAGTTTCAGGTGATTATAAACTAATAGAAACATAGTTAGGAATATTATACACCATTTTTTCCAATAGATGCCCATAAATCCTACATACTGGACCTTTAAAGAAAGGAAAGGTATTCTGCAACCACACAGGAAGAGAAATGTACTAGATAACAGTTTCTTTTCTGACAGTAGTGCAGTCATAAGACAAAGATACATTTTAGAGATGAAGGTTTATTGTGGTCTCCCTCCGCCTGCAAAGCACCAAGTTCACTCCAGTTTCTGTGTTTTCTTGAAAGGCAATCTTAAAAATAAAGACAATCACTTGCTGAGGTAGAAGCAGACAAGGCAGGCTGAGCCAGAGTGAAAGAAAGTACAATAAATTACACCACTTCATCCCAAAACAAACCATCAAATATTAGCTATTAGATATAGATGGCACCTAACAGTCTAATCATACCTGTGATGCTGACTTCTGTATCCCTCATCACTCAGTCTAAGGGCCCAGTTTGCTGTGGAGAATGAGCCTATGGGCCTGCTGCATGGCAGTGAAAACCACGAAGAGGCAGAACGAGAGATCAACTTCTTCTTCCCTAAACAACAAACACTGGCAGTGATCAAACCTGATGCCTTAGAGGAACACAAAGGTCCTCTGTCGTCATTCAGAACAATATAAAAATGTACCTGTGTTTATATAAATGTGTACAGGTAATCATATCATCTTTATAATGTGTTTTCTGACTGTAATAGACAAGATAATGGAGGAGATCAGCAGCGGCGGTTTCTGTGTAACGCAGCTGAAGGAGACGGTGCTGTCGAAGGAGATGGCTGAGGAGTTTTACAAAGAGCACAGAGAGAAGCCTTTCTTCAACCAGCTGGTGGAATTCATGTGTCGGTTAGTCTATCCCTGAACACAGCCACAGGAGAAGGGCAAAGTGACCACAGCAGACCTGCCCTAATTCCTGTTGCCACTGGAAGTTTTAACAGCACTTTTAACTGTAATCTTAGCTGCTTAAAATCAAGGCAGCCTCAGGCAAGCGGCTAGGAAGTCCATCTCAATTTCACTCTTTGTCCCACCGCACATCTAGATTTTAGAGTTATCTTCCGCTCCGATTAGTCCCTTCACTCGGTTGTTACACAACTGCTTGGACACAATGAGCAGAGAGATGTGTGCAGCTGGGCACTTAAGCTGGAGAAACTACCTTTACTGTCGCTATCCCTCAACATCAGCTCAGGTTTAGCATTAATTAACTCTCACACAACAAGTCTCATTATCCAGTCATGAGCTTAGTACGTCCTACCTTACTATTAAAAACACTTCTGCATAAACAGTCTCACACATGGACAAGTAGCCATTTGAACTCTGCTCAATGATATGCACAAGCAGAGTTCAAACACACATACTTGCCCAGGTGAGCTACTCATATGCAGAAGTGTTTTAAATAGCAAAGTTTTAAAGAAAAAACGTGTTTGTGAAGCACTGTGCATACGACTGGATAAATGAGACTTGGATTAAGCTGCACCAGTTGTTTGAGAGTTTGTAAACGGATGTTTAGATAGAGCCAAGACAGCTCTGTATCATCAATAATGCTTAAATTTAAGTATGAGATTTCACTTTATTAAGCATAATAAACATTTTACAATTGCTTTTAAATTTCTGGCAGAGCTGAGACTGGCAGGGGTTACACGTCTCCAACTAGCGAAGAGGCTCTCAGGAAGTGACGCAGTAATTACATCTCAGTGTGTCTGACAAGATACACACTACTCTTTATTCACACAAAAGTATGATGAACAGTAGAACACATACTGAGTATGTAGTGCATAGTATGTGTTTTCGGACGCAGCGATCAATTATAATGCACGAGTAGTGTGAGAGTTTGTAAAGGAATGTTTTGATATAGTTTTGCTGGTGTTAAATGCAGCCATCATTTATTTAATTTAATCAATATTTTTCTCCATTTTGGAATTCTTTGTTCACCATGGAGGGACGAGAGAGGAACAAAGATTCTTCACAAATTCAACATAACATCATTTTGTGAGTGAAATCCGTCCCAGTTTTAAACAGGATGTCTAGACATCTTTTATCTGCTATTCACCAAATTAGTCCTAAGTGGGAAGGTGCAGTCAAAGCCTGCTCATTGCAACAATAGAAAGTGTCACATTGTGGCTCTTGACAGTTTAATTGCATTATTCTGTTGATTAATTTCTGTGTAAAAATGTTCTCTTGTCATGCTGAATTTCAATTTATATCCATGGCAACAAAGACCACACTGTAGTGGCTAGCCGAACTTTGATTGCAAAACTACCAATAAACACAAATAATAAGGCGGGCAGATACACAGCTCTCCCTTGAATACACTGACAGTAAGTAGTTAAAGTTCATAAGTCATTTAAAATCCTGTTTATTATATTAACATACTGTCATCGTTTGTTTCAGAGGGCCGTGTCTGATGCTCGTCCTGACCAAGGAAAATGCAGTGGAGGAGTGGAGGGCCATGATGGGCCCTGCAGACCCTGATCAAGCAAAGGAGACATCTCCAAACTCTCTGAGGGCCCGCTTCGCTTCCAACATCCTGCACAACTCGGTCCACGGCTCCTCCAACGAGCAGCATGCAGAGGAGAAGATCCGTTTTATCTTTGGTGACATCTGCTCAGACGCAGAGCTCACCGGTGATGGAGGGACTGACACAACCATTTTAGGTAATCATATGATGTCTGTGACAGTCATTTCCATCTGGCACACCATCTGGTTCCACATAAATAACAATTTTGTTCTTGTATTTTTTTCATGTTTTTTGAGGTTTGATATTTCTGCCCTATTCCTGCTAGAAATGATATTTCATCCAGCTTTATTTCTTACAGTTATAGTTAAAAATACTCCAAACTTCACTTCTTGAAATAAAGATCAATTTCTTGCAGCAAAAGAGCAGGACAGTTCTGCAGATGAAAACACGGGAACGTCAAGGTCTCCAACTGAGGACATGTCCAATAACCATCATGAAGGTATGCAGTGAGTACGGATAAAGTTTTTTACTGACATGTTAGCTGTCCCTATTCAAGGGTTTGATCCTGAAAAAGGCCTGTTGCTGCCAAAGGCTCATACAGGCATACATAACTAATATATAGTATCCCACAATCCACTGTGCACCAGTCACTTTAAGCACAGGCAATTAGTTTTGTGACTAATGGAAAGCAGTCACTGGTAAATATATCCTATTAATAAGACCAATGAAAAAGCCGCTGCAAGTGGTGAAAAATGGAAACTGGGCATAAACTCCACAGTGGGATATATTGATACAGTCAGTGTTTAGACATAGTTAGGGGGTGTGGTGAGGGTGGAGACAGCAAGGGGGAAAACAGTACATTTACTATAGCTATGATTAATAAAACTTAGCACATTATCAGTACCCCACAGTCATTAATGCTATGATATAGTAGACTAGTGTGTTTTAGTCAACTCCATGCACACATTATAGCAGCGCTAATGTTGCTCAATGCTATTAGCCTGTTTTGACATTGTGCTACTATGTTATCACGCAGGGGGTTTGCACCCTCAAGAACTACATGTCCCTGGAGGCTCACAACTTTTTCTACCAATAGCTACAACAGTTTGAATAAAGTGTTAGATCCATTTTGTTCAACAGCCCCCAAATCTCAATTGCTAAAGCCACCAGACTCCATTCAAATTAACAGTAATTTTATCGTGTATAGAGCCAACATGTTTTCCCACCCAACTTGGCATTTTAAGGGTTTATTTCAATGAAATCAGAGTTGGTGATTGTGATAACAGTGGAAAGACAAAGTTTTATTTTGTTTCTGTAAATGTATTTTACAGTGATAAAATTACCATTTATTTAAATGGAGTCTGGTGGGTGTGACAATAGTGATTCAGGGCTGTTTCTGGTTAAACAAAAATTATCTTACTCTTTAGCATAAAGGTATATCTCTGTAGGGATCCTTTCAATAATCTTGTCAGACACTTGTCATAACAATCTGAGCCTGTCAGGGGCAGAAGCAAGCACTTTTAATGGCATGCTGTTGAGTGTTGACATCGTAGCCCAGCTGCTGCTCTTGCTTGATACAGGACTGATTTTAAAAAAATGTTTAGCTTGATATCGTTCTTATTACAGGCTTGAGTGTTGTTTCGTCATACCTTTAAAGTTTCGACAACTGCGTCTGTCGTCATCATCAGGAGCGTCACGTGATGTCTGGTCACGTGGTTAAAATGTTGTTCCCATTAGTCACTTAAACACAAAAAATAGGGTCCAGTTTTAAAATACCCTTTAACTCTGTATTTTGAAGCGTGATTGACAACCAGAAAGTCACACAGCAACTCTTCAGCAAGGTAACAAATGCTTTGTCTCCCTCCTGGTGTTGAAGGATGTGACATTTTGTTGGCATTCCCATAAATACCAGCTGTATCTATTGTTAATCACAGGACATTACAGTATAATAGATGTTACCTACCTGTATGTAAATATAGTACTGTTAACCTGGTCCACTATTTGCCATGTTCCATCCATTAGTATGGTAACATGTCTCAGGTTACCACTGATATTTAATCTTTGTCAGCTGTGTCAGCCTTTAAAATGTTAGCGTACACTTTTGATGTGGAATGCCCAAAAACTCAAAGGATCCATCTCCTAAATTGGGACACAGCTATTACAGCATCGCGTCCTGGGAGCTGAGAGTAGGTGCCAAGTAGATATGTCTCTTAATACTGACAACTCAGATAGCTTCCAAGAGCGAGAAGACGTATCTCTTCTGATACAGAGAAAAATGAGGCCATTGATCTTCATAATGTGACTTACGTGAGCTGGAATGGAGATGTAAACTGCTCTTACAGTCTCTTTGTCTGGAGAGTGAAGTAAATCTTGAACCTGCTGCATTGTGGGGATAATTGCAATTCAAATGTGCAATACCTTCTCATGATTCCATTTTGTTGAAGTATTAATGGGTTTAGGTGACGAACTGTTGCACCTCTGCGAGTCCTGAGGCTGATGTATTTGAATAATGTAACATTGCTGTCTAACACTGTTTTATTGGTTGTAGGATCTTTCTGTAGGGGGATTCATTCATGTGTGGTTGTCCTTCAGAATATTTGATTTAGTTTTCCTCTTTACTTTACAGGTGACCCACATGATTCAAATCCTTGCAGCCCACAGACAGAAGGAATTGACAATCCAGAGCACCCAAACTGAGTCAGCACACTTAGTTTCTCTTGTATTGTGGGCTTAAAACACAGTATCATATACGTCACTCCATGAATCATGAAATAAACAGGAAGACTGGTGATATTTACACACTTTATAGACGTGTAGGTGGTGGGTTGATAACAAAGTGACCATATATTCTTCAGCCAGTTAAAGGGAGTACTTGTGTACTTGTTAAGTTTTGTACGTAGTACTGCTCATGGCAGTTAAAAGTTTATAGACTTGTTGGCTTGATCCTAAGAACAGGATCATATGGTCACCACAAAGCAGCTGATTCAGAGAGGGTTCAGAGAAGCATTCAGTTGAATCCAGTCAGTTCAGTCCATCTTGGATTGGCTACTGTAAATTGTACTGATTTTTGTTTTAGTTTTCATTTTCAGTTTCAGCAACTCATACCATGATATTTACAATTTTGGGCAACACTTTACTTGAAGGTGTCTACTTAAAAGTGACATGATACTGTCATAACTATGACATGACATGAACCTGTCAGGAACATTATGTAGATGTCAAACGTCATTCGGTTTTTGTAATGACAAGTTGACATTGTTTGGGTTGTCTTGATTATGACAAGTTGACATTAATCAAAGTGACATTACCAGAAGTTGTCATTGTCATGATAAGTTGACATTAAATTTGTTTGGGATATCCTTATAATGACAATTTGACATTAACCAGGATGACATTACCAGAAGATGTATTTATGTTAATGTCAACTTGTCATTATAAGGACATCCTAAACAAATTTAATGTCAGCTTGTCATGACAAAGACATCTTCTGGTAATGTCACTTTGATTCATGTCAAGTTGTCATAATCAAGACAACCCAAACAATGTCAACTTGTCATTACAAAAAACAAATGACACTTAATGACAGCAGTCATAAACGTTTGACATGTACATAATGTTTATGACAAGTTTATGACAGTGTCATGTCATAGTTATGACTGTGTCATGTCACCCTTATGTAGAAACGGTCAAGTAAAGTGTTACCCAAGTTTGTCTACAGTATTTCTTATTTTTTTTGGTGTATCTTTATGGTTTATATATAATTCAACAAAAAAAGAGAGAAACCTTTACTGACACTTAAAGTATTGATTGTAATGGTTAGAGTAAAACAGAAGTACAAGTAGGAAAAATGAATACTAAAAAAAGGGTGGAGTGTCGGGGAAGGAAGTTGTGTGTGAATGTGTGTGGTGTATACGTGTATGATTAAGAATATGTGGGAAGGTTTAGATCACTTCACTGAATGATTATAAACATGGCAGGGCTCTACCTTTTAATAAATGTATCTTTTTAAAGTCTCAAAAAGTGTGTTATTTGTTCCATTTGGTAAATTCCCCACACCTTCATAGTGTATTTATTGTATGTTGGGGGTTTTGATGCATCTTTCTGCTGCTAGCAATATTTGTCAAAGATATTTTTTAGCTCTTCCATCAATCTCTTCTAGTGCCATCTTTGCATCTTTAGTGATTTTGTATCAATTCTAATTTCTACCATGCTGTGATTAGGCTTCACTGTTTTACCCATTAGCGTCATTTATGACAGGATTGTGTAACAATTGAGGATAACTAATTGTAGATAATCAAAGTGAGTGAAATATCAAGTTGTAAAAACTTGACTACAAAGTGGTGTTATTAGCAGCTTGCCGGTAGATACTCTGGGACTGGGGTTTATAATTTAAGATAAAGTAAATCCACTGTATCAATTTTAGGGGACTGCATTACTTCACATCCAGTAACCACGGTAACAATTCAGGTTCCAATTTGAGAGGGAGTCTGAAGGCAACCTTGAGTCAGACATATATTTATTTTCTCTTATTAGCAAAAAATATATAGGCTTTTTAGATTGTTATTTTACATCTTTATTTATCACTGGCATGTTTGTTAAAGGAACAGTGTGTAGGATTTAGTGGCATCTAGCAGTGAGCTTACAGACTGCAGCCAGCTGAGTACCCCTCGCTTACAGTAACGTGAAAATGTGTTTGGGTTTGCTTTACGATTTGTGTTAGTGCTAGTGTAGAAACATAGCGGTGCAACATGGCGGGCTCTGAAAGAGGACCCACTTCCTATGTAGATATGAAGAGCTCATTCTAAGCTAACAAAAGCAAAAAAAATCTAAGTTTGAGGAGATTACGAACTAAAAATTAAAAAAGGAATGAAAAGGTATGAACATTATATTCCATTTCTACCAATAGATCCCCCAAAATCCTACACACTGGACCTTTAACTTTTACAAAACGAAAAAAAGTCTAAAGCAGTCATGATAGGTTAAAAACTAGGAATCTAGACTCCTTTCAATAAACAAACAAACAGGTGATGTTAATCTAGTTTCTCAAAACAAAAGTTTCCGCGTCATCTGCTAAAATAATCTTTGATTTGTCTTTTGCCGGGGTGTTATCCGACCATGCTGAGGTGTTGATCAGTACTGTTATCAGGCGGGGTGTCCTCCCAGTCTTTTGCAGCCTCCAGTAAGATGGCCTCATCCACGTCGTCATCCTCAGTGAACGACCTCTGGAACATCTCCATGATGCTCCTCTGGTTAGGGTCCTGAACAAATCCAAATAATCAGGTCATTACTTAATGTACAGACACCATTTCTGATTTGGCTCTGTAAGCGCCGTTATACTGTGCAGCCTTATGTAAATATGTTTCATCTATGTTAATGTGTGAATGCTATTTAAAAACTGTAAAAAGGATTATACATCATTTATTTATATACAGACACAGAGCTTACCTTAGAGTGGAAGCTGGCGTTCACCGCTTTGTCGGAGAGGTTTGATTCCGACAGGCCCACTTGCTCCAAAACATTCATTTTCTCCTGGATCATTGGCCTGGAGATAAATTATTATAATAGAGCAGATACCATTCAATTCACTGCTTGTCACAATATGCATATCAAACAACCCACATTAACGTGACCCCCCGCTGTTTCAGTTTTGGCTCTGAAGTGGTGGACTGATGAATACAAGAGGAAAAAAAGATTTAAAAACACAGTTTGATTATCAGTGAAATTACTGCCCACTGACTGACACGTACCACAGGTGATCATCAGCTGTTCCCTTGGCAACCAGGTAGTGAATGTTCACATTGCTGGTTTGTCCAATACGGTGCACCCTGTCCTCCGCCTGAATCAAAATCTGCAGAAAAAAAGCATTGTCAAAAAAAGAGCATTTGAATTTTCTTGGTGTCACCAATTGTTTCCTGCCTTCCCTCAGCTGCAGTGAAGGTCGACGTGCGCTCTGCTTGAGGAAAAATATCAATAAAATGGTAAGTCATTATTCAGGCTTAAAGCTGCCAACAGTTGAAATTGAAGAACTATTAAGATTCCTCCGGGAACTGAAGCTGTTGTTACTGGCACAGAGTGCGGGTTGAGCATAGCAATCACTTCAAAATGAATCTTTTTTTTAGTTGCGGATTTGTCCCCCTTTAATTCCCACTTCAGAATGCCCTATTTGGCTGTACTGTGAATCTTGTCACATCTTTGTCCCTGCAAACATAGCATAAAGAGGGAGTGGGAAATTCCCATAATGCCAGGATAACCTTATAACCAAACGTGAACTAAAAGAGGCAAAAACTGGGCTGGAACCAAAATTGAGTCTAAAATGAAAATACTACAAATAAAAAATGTGTTCCAATGGAGCCATACACATGTCGCATTTTTTGCACCCTCAAATTTATTGTTTTCAATATAGATGCATGGCAGGCGCACTCAAACGCCAGAGCAACGCTGACACAATGCACACGTGTTCCTGAGTGTCTTTTAGCACTTTTAGAACGCAGCAGCACACACCGTATGTCATGTGACGAGGAACAGACAGATATCTTTCTCTTCTTCTGTAAATATCAGTCTGTGGTAAATATGGAAAAGCTGATCATTTTACTGCAGGGCTACCCAGAGCTTTACATCTGTCCCAGGGACGATAGGCCTACACACTTAAAAACAGCGTCTGGAAGAAGATCAGCTCTGTACTCAAAATTTCAGGTAAATACTTGGGATGCGCGCGATTAGTCGTCTAAACGATTAAACGTCCACCCCCCTTGCTAGTCGGCACTTGAAAAATTAGTCAGTTAAACAATTTAGTGTTCTATTCATGTACAAGGTCGCTTAACTGTCATGAAGCCGCCAGCCACTAGTGGGTGCTACAGATAACCATCAGACAGCAGTCCCCCTCCCCACGTTAATGCTTGAGTAGACTGGAGTTTTAAAACAGCATGGTGGGAAAACCCAGCGTGGTTTGGCAGTACTTTGATCTAGAAAATCAATTCAGCAGCAATTTATCTTTTTTGAGATGTTATATTATTTGTTAACTGTAAGTGAGTTGTTGTCAGACAATGTGCAGGGTTTACATTCATACTGTACGGAGCAAAATGCCTCTCATTTCAGCTGAAATTTAAATATAATTAAGATTTTGTTTTATTAACTTTAAAATGAATTGCTATGATTTTTGTTGGATAATCTGCAAGGTTCAATTTGCCCCACATTTCAGAGGCAATTTATTGATTTTAGATGTTATTTTAGTGGTTCACTTTTGACTGAGTTGCCGTCGTGTTCAAATTCATACGGCACGGCGCAAAGTGTCTCGTACTTCAGTGGCATTTAAAATCTGACATGGTTGTTGAAGATTCTGATTAAAGGTTTCAAAGGGCTCTTAATGCACACAATATTTTTGGGACAATGTTTCAAATACTAAATTTTGACTATTTTGATAGTGTTTTAATTTTTTTCTGTCGACTAGTCTTAATTAAAATTTTCATTAAGTCGACAGGGAAATAAGTTGCCAGGAACATCCCCAGAAAACAGGCTATAATACGATGCTTGTTAGCGACCTCAGACACAACCTGCCGTCACACTCTAGAAAGCTGGCACAAAAAAGGCACAAAAGTAGTGTCCAGCACCTGACCTTGCATTTTCCAGGCGGTTAAAGACACAGCATGTGTACAACCCCTAAATTAGTAGCCACAGGTTATGTATGAGTTTTTAGGGTACTATACCCCAAGTGTTTGGTGGAATTGCAGCTAATGAGCACTCAGTATTTTATTTTAATAACTTTCCATGGCTTACCCCGGGGTTCCAGAAAAGCTCAGCGAAGACCACCAGGTCAGCACTGTGCAGGGTGAGACCCATGTTAGCTGCAGTGATGGACAGTACGGCCACACAGGTCTTGGTCACGTACTGGAACTTATCACACAGCTGCTGCCGTTCAGCTGAAGGAGTGGACCCGTCAATACGGATGTGACTGACGTTCTGTAGAAGAAATTAAAGGCCAGAATGGTTTAGGGAACGGACCAATACGACACCAACAAACTCATTTAACAAACCTTGATAAGTCACAGTAGTAGTAAAACTAGGCTCAAATGTGCTGCCTACACTTGTTCCCTGCAGCTACTGATGAAAGTTGACCTAAGAGTTGACTTTAACGCCTACGAAAAGAATCAAAATGCACTTTTTTTTTTTTTTTTTTTTTACATTAAAATTATATTTCTGTGCAGTGTGGTATCTGTATATCTTGCTCACCTTTTTAACCAGTTCAGTTGTAATGTGATCCAGGACTAACTTATGATGGGCAAACACGAGAAACTTCTCCCTCCCACACTCCAGCGTGTCTGTGATGTACTCCCTGGCAATGACAGAAACAACAGAGGTCTCAACTGTTTCAAAGAAAGCAGTGAAATATTCAATCATTCTGTGTATTTATTCAAACTCTCAAAGTTATCTCAAATCCAGTACAAATGACGATCACAGTGGTCTGACAAAAGATTCTGATTCATTTTACATTTTAATCTCAGCGCTCATCACATCTAAGCTGATGGGACTTACTGATCCCCGACCATTAGAGGGTCTGTGCTTACATAATGGCTTGCAGCTTGGCTTCGGCTGTGTGGTTATAAAAGATGAGGAGGGCTTCCTTCTCTTGTATTTTCTGAAAAAGAGATAAGGAACGGCACCAGATAAGAACTGACAGGAGATACTGATTGATGATTTGATAAGGCTGCCATTACTCTGAGGAGCAGTGTGATAATGAACAATCAAGCTAAGCCATTCAGTTCCATTAGAGTGAATAAATTCTCTTAAAATAAGACTTACTGGAGTATTCTGGGTCAGTTTGAAAGCACTTGTGCATGCTTGAGGCCTGAGAGGACTCCATCATTTGAAGAAGACAGAACAAACATGTAACTTTCTTGGACTGAAGGAGTGTTTTTCCTAACTGATGTCTTTTTAATCACAGCGACTACATTTCAAGTCGAACATGCTGTATTTCATTTGTCTTTTGGATACATGTAGTCAACATGCTTGGGTATTGAATAATGCAAAAGGTCAGAATATGCTATTTTCAGCTAACTTTTCAACCCCAAAATCAAAAATACATATTTTTCCTCTTTCCTGTAGTACTGTTTATCAGTCTAGATTGTTTTGATTTGGTGATACAGTTGGTGGGTTTAGCTCAGTAGAAAGAAAATAGTTCCTGCATGAAACTGCTCACAACAAGGTCTGTAAATTATCTTGAATAAGTGGGTCATGATTTCTTGAAAGAGGCATTGCTGTTGAGTTTTTCAATGTATTTTTTGGCGCTTTGGGCACCAGAGGTCAAGTACGATCTAGTTCCATTATACTTCAGAGAAGGCAGACATCTCTACAGCTGATATCTCCAACACTCGGCAACTCACACCAAAACAATTTGATGATAAAAATGACTGATAAATAGCGCTACAGGAAAAGGAAGAATATGTGTTTTTGATTTTGGGGTGAACTGTCCCTTTAAAAATAATTTAGTAGTGATGAATTTATCAAAACTTCTTACGTTTTTTGTAATTACTGCAACAGAACTCACACCTTTTTTTTTTTCTTTTACTGTGTTATTTTTCCTCTAATTTGATTATTCTTGGGGAGGACTGATTTAGTTTTGCCTTAATTCCTAAGATGGGAAATTTGTAAATCTTACTCCAAGCCTGGTTTCTTAAGGTTTGCAAATACCTGTATACCAAAAACTTCAAATTCTATATCTTTTCTGTTTTTACCGGACCATGAGAAACGTTTGTGACTTACATTGCGGTGCCCATTGGCCAACTGCTTGGCAGCAGCTGACAGAGCAGCTTTAATGCGGGTGTTGACACCATCTATGGTCACTGTGACGACCTTGCGTTGTTTAGAGGGAAGCTGTGAGAGGACGTCGCGCTTGAGACGACGCAACATCAGACACTCCTCCAGCAACAGCTTTAACTCCCCGAGGTTAGATGAGCCGGAGTAATCCCACCCCCAAGTCGCCTAGAGGGGAGGGGAATAGAAAAGGATAGAAGGAGAGGAAAGTAAGAAAAGCATAGTGGACAATGAGGCAAATTTGACACAGAACCCTTCAAAGCAGGTAGCCAGACTCTTGGACTATCTAATGACAACGTTCATCTTTAATCACACACAGGGATTAGTTCGGATGCCAGTCAAGCTGGTGACTAACCAGCAGACTAAAAAGCTCAGAATTCAGTCACAGGAATCAAACTGTGATAGCTCCGGCTGGTCTGAGTCTCTTATCAGGATGCAAAAGCCATTTTATGAGACTTCAATGGTGGAAAAAAGGGAATTTTTGCAGAGCAGAGCAAAATCTCCACAATCTTCAAAATGAGTCATCATGACCAAATTAAGGATGTAATTGGCCTTTAAATCATGTAGCGTGTTCCCTACTTGAACCTATTAGAATTAATTAAGGAGATTAAGTGGCAAGAATAAAGCAACAGAAGGAAAAGAGTGGAGACAAAATTCACAGAAAAGGAATCCGCTGACACCTAAAAAACAGTTTTAATGTATACACTGTTTGCCAACCTACGCTGGCTGTAAAGTGTCCTCATTTCACCTTTATAACCCTATTGTTCTCAGCAGAGAGCATTAGGAACTGCAGACTGTGAATGTAAGAGAGGCAGATAAACAAATAATTCACTAATCCTACACCTAAAGCCTTCTATGTTCTTTGAGGTGTCCTAAAATTACAGCTCAACAGTATTAAGCATTACACTTTGATAGATAAGGACTCTTAAAGGGATAGTTTAGATTTTTTTTAAGTGGGGTTGTATGAGGTATTTATCCATAGTCAGTGTATCACCGACAGTAGATGGTGGTTGTTAGCCCCCATTTCGGAGAAACAGGCAGGAGTACTGCCACAGAAGCCAAGCAATATACTGCTGTGAATGGGGGCAGAAGCAAGACGTATTTTAGCCACCTAAAACAATCAATATTATTTTGAGTATACACTATATTTAGAATATTTTCACCTCTTTACCTTGCCGTCAGAAAGCCCTTTCTGACGGGGCACTGAAGATGTCATATATGCTTTTTCAAAGTCAGCGTTCATTTGACAAAAACAGTTATTTTACCTTGCAGAACACGGGAGTTGCTGGTCAACCCCTGCCTCGATCAGTTAGTTTGTGTTGACTTTGGTGTTTTAAGGATTGGTTTGGATTCACCAAAGTCACACAATAACACAAACTAACTAATCAAGGCAGCAGTAGACCAGCAACTCCTGTGTTCTGTAAGATAAAATTACTGTTTTGTCATTGAAGTCTGGCTTTGTAGAGAGCACATATGATATCTTTAGTTCCCCGTCAGAAAGAGCTATCTGACAGCGAGGTAAAGCAATGAAAATATTCTAAATATAGAGCACACTTGAACTGATGTGAGTTTTTTTTATGTCGTTAAAATATGTTTTGATGCTGCCCCCCTCCACAGCAAAACATTGCTTCCGTGGCAGTACTCCTGCCTGCTTCTCCAAACCAGGGGTGTACTGACTGACATCTACTGTATGTAATACTCTGACTACAGATAAGTACCTCATATGACCCCAATTAAAAAAATCCACGCTATCCCTTTAAGGCTTAAGCTACCTGTGTGGCACCGCAGTAGCGTATCCCAAACTCGTGGAAGCGGGGGAAGAGTGTTGGTCTGACAGCCAGAATCTGGGTGTACAGCTCAGAGGGTCTGGACATGGCAGGGGTCCCAGACAGAAGAATCACTCTCTTTGCTGCCTGAGGATGGAAAAAACAACTGTGATCAGAGCACTGCTGAGAGAGTCAAGCTGACAAAGCAAGAAATTAAACCCAACCCTGAGCCAAATGCTGCAATGTTTTGGATTCAGCTGGTTTATGGATCTTTGTTAGCAGGCAATATATGCTACATATACAAAACAATAATGTCGCTCTGATATAGTGACACGGGGAAAACTGTGGGTGTTTGGGTGGGTGGTGCGTGTCAAGTGGCGTCCACATGAATGCCAGAACCTCAGGATTCTTAGCAGAACATTGCATCGTAACAAGATGATCAATAGTTTTCCCTTCAACTGTCAGAGGGTTTTAATGTTCTGTCTGATCAATGTATGTTCACATGTTACAGAGAGTTTGGCATATAGCTGAAATAATCACTCTGTTGCTCAGCTGACAGCAGTTGAAACCATGTAACTGTGTAAAAAGTCCATGTGTGATAAATATATTATTATTATTATCAGTTTTAATGTAGTGTTTTTTAATGTTGGTAGTGCAGCGACCATTAAGTTTCCTTTGGGATGGATCTTTCCTATAAATTTTGGTTTAATTGCACGCATACTATAACTGCAGGGTCCAGCCTCCGCTGCTTAAGGCTAAAAAAATAATAATTGTCTGATGGAAGACATCCTAAATCTGATTTCCCAAGAAAATCTAATCAATTGTTCAGCTGGCCCAAGGTCAATCTGACAGCCAATCTGGGTCTTGTTCCAAGAGTTTTAATGAATTATCTGGATAATTTTACTTGGAAAACCTTGAACCAACTCAAATTTGATTTATGACCTAATGTAAAGGAACCTTTTTCAGTGTTTTCCCCGGTGAAGTTATACCTTAAGACCAAAGAGAATCTGCCTCTTTGCACAGATTGAACTAGGTACTCTTTGATCTGCTGCTTTGGATATTTTTGAAATATCCTGCTTAGAGACAGTTAGATGTCACAAACAAGTAAAAATATAACATCTTTAAGGTATGTGACAAAATTAGTAATCCAAATAAAACATTAAATGAAAAGAGGGAAGAAAAACAAGCACCTTCAGCAGAGGCAAAGCTGCTTTACAGCGAGCAGTCTTTATGTTCTTCAGGAAGTGAGACTCATCCTGCACAAAATGACAAAATCATATATTCTACTTACAACATACAGTAACTGCTTTTAAAGGCAAAAAACACAAGTACAGACATATATTTTGAGACAATTCTAAATACTGCACTGTTCAGTAAAACAGCTCACCATGATGAGGACATTGAAGGGGTTTCCCAGCTGCTGCTTGTCCATCCTGCTCAGCAGGTCGTAGCTGATGATGTTGACCAAAGCAGACCGCAGATTGTCTTTGGCCTTCACCACCACGTTGATGCTGTCAGGACTCAGGGAGGGGAGCCAGCGTCTGAAGGCCTACAGGCAGAGATACTTACTCATGTCATAAACACAGAGTGAAACAAAACTCCTCAGAAAAACAGTTCTAATTTCCAGGCTGCGCTTTTCCCCCTACCACTGGGAATAAATCAGCCCCTGAAATTTTAAATGAAAATCCCAGTCACATTCACGAATTATTTTGTGACTGACAGCTGGCTTGAATGCGACTAATCACTTATAATTGTGTCTAACTACCATCGCAGTGTCTCCATTTAGAGACAACTGATCATGTAGTTAAGAAAAATGTCCCCTGTGGCCCAAATGTTTCTGACAGTTCACTTACTTGCTCTCTATTCACCTGTCAACCTGGCTTAAACTCACTAAGTTATAGCTCCCATGTTTTGCAGTAGATCTGGCCAAATGCAAAAGACTAACAGTGCAAATAAGAGCCAAGCCAGACAGAGTAAGTGTCCTTTAATGGGCCGACATCCTGTGACTAAACCCTCCTCGACGATTCCAACTCCTGATTGGGGGACTGTGTTTGATCCAAGATATCTATTTAGAGAGCAGACTGTCTTGTCTTGTCAATAGACAGAAGGCCAACGAAGCTCTTCTGAAAATGTGGTGCTATTGCAGCTTGGTAATGCTGCTGCGAGTTAAGCGGAGATTGCTAAAGAACATGAGACATGCTCACAGAGAAAAGGGACACCTGAGATGAAATTAGAACGTATTGAAATTGTAGAAGGAAAACGGGGACAAAGAGGCGCCAACATTTCAACGATGCCAAGTGTGGGGGTGTCTTAATAGTCATCGAAAATAATATGCAAAGTGTAAAAATATATATAGCTCAGCTAAATCAGCAACATTATGTGAAGCAGGTCTTTATGAATAACAGACTTCAACAGAGTAGCCAAATAAACTGAATTAACATCTCGGTTTTAAATTAATGCTTCACAATCCAATCATCGTCTGCAGCCATCAGAATAAGAAACAGAAGCATGAAATTCAATACTGCCATCTCCCTTACTGAAGATAAAGTACCTAACAGAGCACAAGCAGTCCATGGGGAACAGCATTAACATTCCTCAAATGCAGATGAGCTTTAAGTAGAAACCAGCATTATAATGTGTAAGGCAGAGCTTTTGTCAAAGGAGACCTGAAGAATATCCTTAAGAGGGTGCCTGCTGATTTAATGCAGGCCAATAATGACACCATTAAACGGAAACAAAGTGATAAACTCTAACACCTACGAAGTAATGAGCCATTTTTCTTTGCAGGATGTTTTTTTTTTTTTTTTTACCTCAGCCCAGGTGAATCGCACAGAGGAGGGAGCCACGACCAGCAAGGGCCACTCATTCCTGTAGTAGGCTGCTATACAGATGGCCTGCACCGTCTTTCCCAAGCCCATGTCATCAGCCAGGAGGAGGCGGCCCTGTTTAGACACCGCAAAACTACAGGGACACGAAGAAATGCTAAAATTAAATGCTACAGCAGGACAGCGAGTGGAAGTCACACTGATCCAATCCTATAAAGCAAACTTGAAGTCACAGAGGAATGGCACTGAAATATTGGCTTGCAATGATAAGTATCTCTTTGTTTGCACAAGACTGAGCAAATTATAGATGAATAGCCGTCTGCTGGTATTGAGTTATTGGCTACACCATGCAGAACGCGCACTAATGGCTGTCCAAAGGCACCTACTTGACTCCCTCCCTCTGAAAGGGCATAAGGCTGCAGGTGAGCGAGGGGTCGATGCTGGAGAGGTCTGCCTCAGGGACGTCTAAAGACCTGGCTTCGGTCCCGTCAAACCTGGCAGAGAAAGCCTGGACCACTGCCCTGGGCAGAGGCTCCACCTCCACTGCTGCTATCCCACTGAGGAGATCCACTGGGTATGGAACACAGCACGGTCAGACAAGATGGCAAATGCAACGGAGACAAACATGACCATAGAGATAAAGCAGCTAAATAAAGCAAATGTTGGTACTCACAGAGTCTCTTGTAATCCACAAGTGAAAATCTCCACTTTCTGGTTTTCATGTCTGCCGCACAACAAAGATTATAACACAAAATACTGGTTTCAGAAGCCGTAAAATGCAATTTTAACATGACAAAAGGCTGTCAAGACGACAGAGGAAGCGTTTTAATTGCATAATTTCACTGTCACCATAGTTCTTTGTTGGCATCTGCTTGAACGCTGCAATGACATCCACATGGTAACCAATGTCAACTTCAAACTTTGTCGGAGACACCAGGACGCACTGGCCCTGCAGAGTGGCTCCAGGTTTCTGCCAGCCGTTACACAGCTTGAGCAGCGCCCCCAATGCTGCACCGTCACGAGCTCGGCTGGTGGCTGCTGCAACGTCCACTGCCTCCATTCCATCCAGAGGCCTCAATGACACAGAGGCTATACCAGCTGTTTCCTCCACTGCAACAAAGAGATATAGATACAGGAGATGCAGCAGCAGGACAAAGAAGACCAATACTCTGCCGTGTCTTTGAATATGTCCCTGATGTTCATACTTAGCTGTCGATAGTCCTCCAGACTGAAGTTCCACATCTTTGTGGCAGGGTCTGAGGCAGAACAGAATACTTTATTATTCTAGCATACAATACCAAAACTATGGCACAAAATAACTACATTAAAAGACATTAGTATTCTTACTTAGAAAACTTATACTGGTTAGCATGAAAGCCATGTGTACTTGGCTTCTTCTACAGAGGAGAGCCCTGAAGCTCTGGCCAGAGGATAGCAGTTGGCTTTATTTTTATAGCGGTGAGTTAAGTCATTCATTATTTGGCCTTGCAGGTTGTCCTGGTTATGTGCACTGATGCACTGGCACTAAGGCTGGGTATTACTTTAAAATTGGAATACCTGCTGCCACAGAACACAATACAGTTAAGTCAGCACTAAAAAGTGATTGCGGTTTAATACACAGACCATGATGGTGCATAACATACACCATCTATTGAGGGCTTGTTTATTGTAGTATGATGAATGTACAAGAAATAACTCAATCATTTTGAGGGTTTTTGTCTTACTGTCTGTCTTTATATTGTCGTTCTGAACATATGATGCTGCCTAAGTAGTTTTAAATTCCTGTACCACTTCTAAAAACTTACTGACACTTACGTGGCTTATTGTTAATTATTAAAATGTTGCTAATCTATTCATGATCCAACATGCATCAGTGTTTCCCACAAGTTCAAAAGTGGAAAGGGGTGTGTGGCTGCAAAAAGCGTTGACCAACAAGACGTAGCTGCACAACAGCATAGTTACACTGGTAGATACTTACCGTAGCTCTTTGTGGGGATGGATTTGAAAACAGCAATCAGTTCTGCATGGTAGCCCACTTCGACTCTGAAGCGGCCCTCTGTGTGAGCTACACACTTTCCTCTTACAGAGATGGCAGGCTTTTTTGCAGGTACAGCATTCAGAGTTGATGAGTTGGAGGGAAGCTGTGCCACAGGATTTTGGGCAGGTTTACTAGTTTGCTTGTAGAATGAGCCAAATGCACCACCTGAGCTGTTGGAGGTGGGGTTAGGTGTGGGATGAGCTGGCTTCACACCAATGCTTCCTCCACTAGACGAGACAGGGCTGATTACATTTTGATTTGCTGCCTGAGGAAGTGGGTCAATAAGCTGTATCTACAAGGAAATACAGACAATGAATTAGGAAACTAGAAGTTATTATTCCTGCAAACAATAACTGACTGAACATCAATGCACAGAACTCACCTGTCTTTTAGGAGCAGAGTTATAAAGAGTATTCTGATTGATTTGGTTGCTAGTGCCAGGTAACTGCTGATGTTTGGGGTCCTGATTGTAGTTATTGAGGCTCTGTGAGTCTTTCCTGAAGGGTGGCACAAACCGTTTTGGTGCAGGAGCAGAGCTGAGTGTCTCTCTGTGACGAGTCACAGTAGCAGGATCCGAGGCAAAGCTGTGTTTAGAGGGCTGTACCTGCACTGAAGAGCTGCTGAAGAACACTGGGGTCTGCTTATTGTTGCTGATGGTCTGTCCGAGTCTCTGGGCTCTTCTCTCCAGAGCCTTCCGTCTGTTTTCTTCAATCTTTCGCTGCTGCTCTGCGGTTAGCTGATTGGACATGATGATGAACTTTGCTGCAGCTTACGCTAACTTCAGAGGCATTCGCAAATTCAGATGATTATAAAACACTCCGAGCTAGCCAAAACATCTAGTTACCCACAAATATATGATCCATGTACACCCACCTGGACTTGCACGAGTACGACAGTTATCTTAAAAGTTTGCGAACTTGTACCGCAGCTAGCTAACCCGGCTAACGGTACCAGCTAACGTTGCTAACGTGGGCAGCAACAATAAAGCTTAGCAACATTAGCATGACATTATATCGACAGCAGTGTTACACACAAGTGGGCATTCATGCGTGGGAGAGCAGATGACTAACACCGTGATCTCAAGACGGCAAAGGCTGTAAAGTGTACACGAACGAAGGAAAGAGAAACATCTGAAGCTAACGTTAGTTGACAAGTTGCTACATGGTTCAGGATCTGCCGCGCAGGAAGTGACGTAGAAAAACAAGCAGGCACGTGGAGGTAGCGGTTGCTTATTGTAAAAGCAAGAAGGTAAAAAAAAAGAAATGCATGTAATTGCTTTAATTTCAACCTGTTACCGATTTTAATGAGCTCATACAAACACAAAATCCCAAATATATTAAAACAGGTTAGTCATGTCAATGTTAATTTGAGTATAAAAAGAAAACAAATATTCTGTGGGTCCTCAAAATCAGACTCCCATTCACTGCCTTACTTCATACCCTATGACATCACACGTTTGAGACTTCTGTGGTCTCTAGCTTTGGGGGAGAGTAGCCCATCTTCACAGATATTAATTACACTTACCTAAGCCATGGAAATAACATATTAGAATTCTTAATTTAGGTGGTGGTCCCCTTTAAGTTGTGAGGCAACCTAACTCAGTGGTTCCCAACTGGTGGGTCACGGTCCAAAAGTGGGTCGCGGGTCAACACATTCTCACTCTGACCACATCACATATTGACGTTTGGTTATGGACCTACCACGTCCAGGTATGACGTGCAAGGCATCCTGGGTGCATTGGTTGCTGACTTTCTGTGGCGCTGTGTCAAGTTATGTCTGTTACATGCATTGTTGTCTTTCAAAATACACTTCTGTTTTCACAGGAAGTTTACCATTTACATACTGTCTCTTTCAACATCAACGCACTACATCAGTACAACACTGCAGATGGACAACTAACGCACGTGGTTGGGTTTCGGCAACAAAAACATGTGGTTAGATTTAGGAAAAAAGAACAGGGTTTGTCTTTATAATCTTACCATATGCGAACGCTGCTCTACCGGGTGAAGGTTGGTGTTTGTAGTACCCATCCACCACCACTCCCTGCCGCCCCACTCGGGCCTTACTTAACTTTCATTCTTGTCCTGCCATGTTTCCCCCTTACGCTGCCAAGCGCTGTTAAACTATAATGGTAACTGGCTGTGTATAATGCCGATGTTGAAGGACAGCTTTTTTCAGTGTCTGACACTTAAAGTCACTGCCCAAGCACCGGATTTCGACGACTTTGGAGTGAGACTGGATTGCACGGGTCCATCCTGAATGGATCCCCAGATGGCTTGCAAACTTGTCAAGTTTGTAAAAAACACACTTTGTTTTGAAATACAGTACAGGGCTTTCATTTTAAAGTGCAATTTCCTGTGGTAGAGTGAATGACTAACAGACTCCTAACAGAGACAGCAAACTGGCTTGACAACATGGCCAAACACAAGTAGGACTCTGAATGTATTAAACTGGTGCTTGAACTAATGACTAAGACGAAATCTGAACCCTGTGGCTGAACCAGTCGGGAACCACTGACCTAACTGAAGATTACTTGAATATTTTCACTTTGTGCAGGCTGTTACCTCTTTTATACTTCTAGCTGCCACATTACATTTCATAGTAAATGTACTTTTATTCCTCTACATTTATCTGACAGCTGTACAAGTTAAATTGCAGATGAAGAATAACATCTGCAGCATAAACATGATGATGAACCAATACAATGATTAACAGTAAATAAATAGTTATAGCTAGCTGTTTATCAATCAGCTACTACAGGTTATAGATTGATGTATCTGTATTATCAGTCTAATGATGTATATATACATATGATAATAAAAGGGTCCATTTTTCTGCATGACAATTCACTTTGATACTCTAAGTACATTCTGCTGATGTGTACTTTCTAAGATTTTGAATCGAGGACTTTAATGTGGAGTATTTCTACACTGTGGTATTGTTGGTTTTCGTTAAGTAAAGGGGCTGAATAGTTCTTCCATCACTGCCGTTAGCTGATCCAATTGCTATTTAATCAGGCACTTACTTGGCAATTACCTGCCACAATAGAAAACCAGCAGGAGTGAGAGCATACTAAGTTTAATGTGTCAGTTCACTGTTGGCAATCCATTAAATGCTCACCACATGGCCACTAGCCTGACCGCAGTCTTACATAAATTCAAACACAAAAAAAGCCACAGGTGTGTTCACTTTAATTATTCATTCAAGACACACAGCTGCCCTGACTGGCTGGTCAATTGTTCTCCCCTGTTTTTCCATCCAGCATCTCTGAATTGTTATTTTTCTCCTATCTGTATTTATCAGATGTCTCCAAAGTGAGTATCACACAACAGTAGAGGAAATGAATAAAGCACATTCACTCAAGTATTTTACTTGTGTGCATTTTTGAGGTACTTGTACTTCACTTGAGTATTTTATACTTCTACTCCACTGCCTTGTACTTCAGGGCATGTATTTGGCACCCTTACTTTTCTCCAGATTCAAATTTTAAACATAGTGTCAGCTTGTATAATGTGATACATTGTAGATTAAGTACTCAACAGTATATTGAATAGCTTTAACTACACCATTTAAACCCTGCTAACATGTTAATTGATTCATTAATAACACTAATACAATAAAATCATAAAGACTATGTAATAATATAACACTCTGAAATGGGTCATTTTGCATTTTTTTTTGCACCTTCTTTTGATAATTTTCAGTGGAAATATTTCTTTACTTTGATTTTATTTTGAATGCAATGGTTTTACTTAGAGTATTTTTCCATTGGTGTTGCTTTTAGAAGTTTAATAACTAATCTGCTATGATCAGAAAATTATCTGCAACCAATTTAATAATTAATCATTTGTGTTTTTAATGCAGAGCTGCCAAAAAATATTTGGTTTCAGTTGAATATTTTCTTATTTTCTGCTCTATTATTATAGTAAAGTGAATATATTTGGATTGTGGAGTGTTGGTCAGACAAAACAAGCCATCTGAGTGACCCAACTTGAACTTTTGGGTATGTGCTGGGCATTATTGACCATTTTCTTCCAATTAGAGGCCCAATAATTAATCAGGAAATTGATCAGATTAATCAGTGAAAATAACTGTTAGCTGCAGCCCTGCCACTTTTACTTAAGAGTTTCAATCCCCATCACTTGGTTTGATCTATGTTATAATTTCATGGTCTTTTTGTGGTGAATTGAGTGCCTAATTGGAGTCTAGCCTGCAATTCCTCCTTTTACTCCCTGTAAGACGTGGTCGTTTTTTAGGTTTAAGCCACTTTCAGTCTAATTGATATTTGTGTAGAGCAAAATGACACTATTGGCAGAGCTGTTATGAATAATTTGTGTTTGCCATGTGTTGCCTGATAATTGAATTGTTTAATTATTGATAATTAGCGGGTAGGACTTAATTCTCTGCACTCTGTTTGCATGGTGAAAGGTAGTAAACACCCCCTCCTTTGAAAAAAAAAAAATATTAATGTCACCTTTAAGTTAATGCATTCTTCTATAATGATGGACGTCTTGGCTCAAAGTAGTAATTAAGCATTTTGCTTTGTATTTGTCTCAGTTATAGTAATGAGTTGGCTGCTTGCATCACTGTGCGGTGGTGACGTGTGGTGTCTGGGAGCTGTCCCAGGAATCATGGTGCTGAAGCTGCAGCACAAATTCAGCAGCCAATGATCACAGGAGAATCCGGGGATACGGATGCTTTCACCCAGAGCAGGACAGTCCGACAATCGTGTTGGATTTTAACGGAGGGATTTAAACCCATCGGTTTGTTCCTCGGACATGGAAATTCGATAATTGGGGATGTAAGCTTCACGCAGACGTGTCAGCGACCTGCAGTCTGGCAGGAGCTCTATGAGAAAAAAAAAATCCCGAAACTGTGAGTCGTAGAGAAATCGGGGTAGCTCGCCAGGTAAGACAGATTTCGCTTCCTAACATGGCACGCCATCGATTGACTTGATTTGCTTTGAAAAGCCTCAGACGTCGACAGTAATCTGAGCTGTGCTGATTCCAAATGTGTCTTTCGGTGTTGTTGGAATATTTGAATTTTCAAGAATGAGCGCTGACATTTTGTTAGTCTGTATCAGTCCATTGTACCAAAGGCAGATTTGATTCGTGGTTTCTGCACTCGTCGTGAATCTGGAGGGAGAAGCCTGTCTAGATAGTTTATGTTGCACAGAGCAGGCAGACCATTAAGGCCATGAAATGACAGTGGACACTGAGTGAACGAGCCATAGCCTTATTACTTGAATTCATATTCCTATCAATCTAACATTTGATTTTCCTCTTTTAGCTGTTCCATTTATTGAACTTAATGGCTTCAGACACTTGTTTGCATCGATGGGATTTGTTTGCCTTTTGGATTTACATTCTCGTGGGAAGACAATAAAGGACTTTGAATTTCAATATACCAATATCAACATAGAAAACTAAAAGGCTGCTTTATAACCTCCCCAACAAACGCAGGAAAAAACGCACCCCCACTATCCCATCCCACGGCATATGAAGAAGTGTTTGCTCATGACGGGGACACATACAGTACATGCTGTTTTCTTCCAGCACCTTTGTATGGTGCTGTGAGTTTGTGGCCGGATACAGCCTAATGCTGCGCAGCCAGGGCATGCTGAAGAGCCGCTGTTGCGTCCTGCTCGGTGACCTGAGGGTGCTCCTTCTCGGGCCACCGGCACCGCCGACACCGCTGCCTCCGCTGACCCCCATGAGCGTCCAAGGCACGGAAAGCCATGAAACAGGCGTCACCGTCCCCGACAACAACAACACGTTAACGCGGAGCCACCAGCAGCACGCAGGGGACCGGGTTGCCCCACCTGCAGCAGGAGCCACCGGGCCACCGGGCGGAGAGCGACCGGGCTGGGTTGATGCTGCAGAGCTGTCGGCAGCCCTGCGCGGCTGCAGCAGCTCTTCTGATGACTGCTCAAAGGGCAAACTGGAGGAGAGGTTCTCCCTCACCAGCTACACGGAAAGTGGCTTCAGGACTCCCGTGTGCAGGATCTGCTTCCAGGGACCAGAGCACGTAAGTCAAGGAAAATTTGTTTTCCAGAAATGTCATGTATGATCCATGGATTATTTCTCTTGCATATGTTCTCTTTGTGAAATCTGTTGGTGTTATTTAACTGGAATGAATCCCCCAACCACTGATTCTCCAACTATAGACCAAACCAGGTGACCACTTAAATCCAAAAACCTCTCCTTCCTGTCAGAGCCTCTGCTACATTCAGGCTTTTGTATTACATGAGAATGCACTGGTCAAGCCTCTTTTCTACTGAGAAAACCCACTCCCAGCATCTTATTAGGGCATCCACGCAGCTGGAGAGCCCTCTAAGCAGGGATCCCACTGCATCCTGCACTCATCCCTTTGCATGGCTTGAAAAGACAGCTATAGCTAGCAGTGGGAGGATAATGAAAGACCTTGTCCCCATGGTTGACAAGTGTGGAGGATACACAGAGTTGCAGTAACAACTCATTATAGCCAAACACTGTGAATTCATATCGAAGCATTACATGCGTGAAAAAATCAAATAATACTTCTCACTCTGCTGCTCACGCACCACCTGGAAACAGCAAAAAAAAAAAAAAAAAAGAATAATAATGTGCACGGAACAGGAGGGAAGAGCCTTCACACTGCGTGCCTCTGTGTTTGGGGCCATATTGATGATAATGTCACACCACATCAATCAGGAGAGGCAAAAATCTGAAAGAAGATGGCTAAGGTGTGTCACAATAAATAATATTGAATTATATCAGAGGAGCAAGTACTTAGCAATTTGCAGACACATTAGTTACACTGTTTGATAGAGCCTTTGAGATCACGTTGACGAATATGTCACACCTCACCAATTGGCAATGGAGGCAGGGAGGTTAGAAAAAGTGTGAAGCAAGATAACTGAGGTGTAGAACATAACTTTTTACCTGGCAGTTTGTGCTCATGGTTGCTTTTCCTTTACCCGAGCAGCAGATTTACTATATCATTTCATGGTCATTGCACTGTGTATGGTCTATAATCTCTCTTATGTTTCATCGACTAATTACACCAACAGCAATTCTGTGCATCATTCCACCTCTGAGCGCAGACTTTGTAATCATTACTGACGTGGGGTCTAGTTGTGAGATTGCAAGACAAGGCCTCATCCTTGCTTTTTTCCAAAACTCCAGATAGTCAGCACACTCTGCAGTGCATACAAAGTATCGGCTTCGAAATTTGCAGTGTTTCCCATGGCCTCCCCCAACTCATCTCATCGATGCTTCCTTGAGACATTGCAGCTAGTCAATAGCACTTGATTTCATGCCGTCTTATCATTATGCAAGTTCTTATCTATCACCGGCCTTCCTTTTCCTGTCGTCTCTGCTGTTGGTTTGGGTGAAGTCCAGATATGGATCCGCTGAGGTGTAAATGGGTACAAGGAGAATGATGCTCCATTTGAAAAGAGAGATGAGTGGACTGTCTGTGTGTCACTGTGTGATACAGGCAGTGGGGACATTAGTTATCCTCTGTTCTCCCTTAGCCTCCAGGATGTCACATAGACCAAGGCAGTCAGTATCTGATCTGACAATCCACCTCCAAAACACTTCCATCCCCAAGGCTGAGATACTCAAGACAGAGTAAAGAAGGGAGCGAGAGACATTTCTTTCCTCAAGCATCCCCCTAGAAAAGGGCCTTGAGTGTCTGACAGTGGCAACCATTGAAAAATGATTGTACTCTGATTTAATATGACACCAAATGATGTAATAAGTCTGTGTAATCGAATTTCTGTCGGTGTTTTTGGTGCCATTTTCTTTGAGGTGTCCTTTGTGATTCACAACCAAAGTCCTGCTATTTTTAAAGATAGTTTCCATCTTAGTTTCCAAATCTGTCTTAATACAGTACTTAATACAATACTTAATACGATACTCACCTACCTACTGAAAGCTGTGGTCACTTTATCATTCCTTTTCTCCATCTTGGCCATAAAGCTATTCCCTCAGAAGTCTGTAAGCTAAATTAAGTGGATATCTTTAAGGGGTTTTTTTTTTTGCCTGAAAATCCCTCTTTTTGTCACTACACCTTCCTGACAATTCAGCAAGGACACACAAAAGGGAATTTACACTAAAGGCCAGGGGCCAGTTGCACAAAACACCTTAAGGTTTTTTTCCCCTATGACATTTAAGGCTTAATTTCCCCTTAGCCAAAGGGCATACCTAAACATTTTTTAGTTAAGGAAAACATGAAGTCATTTACTGCATTGAAGGAGATTTTACAGTTTCCATGTGGACATTTGTTTGCACTTGTGCTTGTGATACCTAAGGTCTTTTATGCAATAACTTTAAGGGATTTCTTAAGTATAAATCCAAAAGGACCAGAAACGTTAAATTCTGAAGTGAATATTTTAAGAAAACCTTAGAGAGAAGACAAAAGGGTGTTAAGCCTTAACTCGGACGTGAAGGAAAATCTTATGGTGTTTGGTGCAACTGGCCCCTGTAACTTTTGATAATAACTACTTGATGTTAGCACAGAATGAAAATGTGGATTTTTGTCCCCCATCACTTTCATTAAGTTCATACAACAAAGGGATATCTTCAGCAGGGAGGAATGATTACCTAGACCTAGAGCTCTTTTCAGCGTATAGAAGGACATTAGGACATTTCCTTAGTTAAGAAAAAACATTAAGGCATTTACTGCATTGAAGGAGATTTTACAGTTTCCATGTGGACCGTTTGTTTGCACTTGTGCTTGTGATACCTAAGGTCTTTTGTGCAATAACTTTTAGGAATTTCGTAAGTATAAGCCCAAGAGGAGCAGAAACCTTAAATTATGAAGTAAACATTTTAAGGAAACCTTATGGAGAAGACCAAAGGTGTTATGTTCATTGAATTAAGGAAGCCTTAACTCAGACGTGAAGGAAAATCTTAAGGTGTTTCTGTAACTTTTGATAATAACTACTTGGTGTTAGCACAGAGTAAAACTGTGGATTTTGTCCCCCGTGACTTCCATTAGGTTCACACACAAAGGGATATCTTCAGCAGGGAGGAATGATTACCTAGACCTAGAACTCTTTCAGGGTATAAAAGGACAGGGGAGTTATGTATTAAGATATAAAAATCCTGATCTGTCCTCAAAGCCAGACTACTTTTGTTGGAGTTAATTTACATTCCCAGACACACAATGTACAGTATAATGAACAGCTGAGCCAACGCACCTGAGGTTATTCATGTATTTCTTTATACACAGCTAACTCAAGACATATTTCAAGCCATTGTCAGTTCTATTTAGCTAAAGGTCGGCGAGAAGCTTTACAGGGGGCTCTGACTAGCTTGCATGGAACGTTTGCTTTATTCAAGCTTGTGCTTTCAGACTCAAAGAGTAAGCAATTTCTCTGATTTATCTTCAGATCATAGAGGTTTTCAGGAAATAGTCATGTAGTGCACAAACTCCTAAAATGGATATTCAAAAAGTAATATGAAGAGCCAAAGAAAAGTCATGTTGTGTGTGAGGGATCCTTTCCTGAATTGTCATGCGCTATTACATGGAAGTGCCCTTTGGGGCTACTGCTGCCCTGTCCTCACTTGAGCTGCATGTTGAGAATATGTGAGTCCCTGCTGCTTAGAAAAAATGTCGTCTCCCCCTCCTAAATCATAACACAGATAATGCACTCGCACAGTGTGTTTGTCTGAGACACAATGAGAAGGCTTGAGGGGTCAAGTTAGCATCATTCTTCCTATATGGCCCCACAGTGCAGAGGCATTAAGCTCTCTGTGCTCCATCATATGTACATAGGATGGCTCCTCTGCCATTTGTTGTGAATGGGATATAAACAAGTTACACAAGCGCATGACATTTTTTGGCCTTGCTGAAGCTTTTAGACAGGAGTTGTGAATTCATAAACTTAAATGATAAGCTGTGGATGCCCTTTCATTCAATTTTTTCTAAAGGGCCATTAAGTGTTACTGTAGGCTTAATGGTTCCTGTAAAATAAACAATGAGTGGAACATCCCCCAGCATATGTTTTATGAGCAGTCGTTACAGGTAAATAAATGTGACATTATATGACCTTTAATTTGATATTTTAAGCGATTCTTTTCCTGTTAACTTGTTGAATATGGTTAAAATGCGCATATGAAGCTGTTTTTCAAATGACTGCAGTGTTGCAGGGACTGGAGAAATGCTTGTGGCCTGAATGTCATCGGCTATTGTAAAAATCGCTTTCATTCAGTTTCTATGGGAGCTAGTTTATTATACCACAATTTCTCCGCCTGGAGTTAATGGAGTTCACTTGCATTGATTCCAGACCCTTAAGAAATGTGAATAGCTGTCTCTAATTTAGTTTCATGTCATTATATACATTGGGAGTGGATCCAATTTTATAAGGAGAAAATTAGGTGCGCTGAGGTAGTTTTAGGATAATGCAGCACAGAGAAATGGAATAACACGACCCGAGCTATCAGACTTATCTTTTGAATGCATTGTTCCTGTGTGTGTATTTTTTAAATTTTTGAATGATCATTGCTGTTTGATCAACAAAAGGACATTTAGTTATCACTTTCTGTATGCGTGGGCTGTAATGCCACATTTGTTATCAGTCTCTCTTGCTCTCTCTCCAGCCTCAGTTGTACTGGAGTGATCTAGGTTTCAGCTCTTGGCTGCAATCAGGCCAGTCACAGTGAGCGGTCTGAGTCCCACTGGACACGGCAGAAGTGTTCTGGTGCTCCTGCCAATACACTCCCACCCTGGCCATCTGTAGATGGGCCTTTTCTCCTCTAACTCCCCGCTTTTCCCTCCCTTCTCCTCGACCAGGGTGCCGCTCCGTCTGTCAGAGATGTCAGCACAATGATGCCGTGGAGAAATAATCTGGAAACTCACTGCGTTTTGCATTTCTTCCCACAATCTCTGTGCCATGTTCGCGGCAGACAGGGACAGGGGATATTTAATATTGAATTAACAATGCCTTGGCTTAGAAATTGAATGCCTCATCTTAGCGAGGAGGAGAGCTTTCTTGCAGCAGAAGGGGTTGGCGAGTTTATTTTTTCATTCACTACAGGCTTTTTGTTCAGTCCCATTAAGATTAAAACATCTATACAAGAAAGTCCTGCTTTGAATTTTATAGACCCGAGTTTCTTTAACTACAGGTCAGGACCTCAAAAGGGTAGCAAGCCTACATCTTTTGGGTCATTATCTATATCCAATAAGACATGAGTGGTAATATATTTTAATGAGTTTGGGGCCCAGGGTGAGAGATTATAAATCTCTAAAATTTTCCTCAGGCTGAATCCAGTTTGAGAATAATGTCTGGTTAAGAATATGGCTGGGCACATATTGCTGTTAAGTGAAAATGCTGATGCCAAATGCTGTGATTTATGTATCTATCACTTTAGCTGATGAGTTTCTAATGCTTTGATTGTTTTGTTTTTTTGTTTTTTTTGGAAACCTGTCATACCCCACTGGATGAGCTGGAAACACACTGGTCACATTAAAAGCTGCTAAATCTCAAATCTTTTATCTGATAGCAAAGAGATTCTCCTTTTCAGCTTTGCTAAATATTCACATGGCTCAAGAGATCATAAGTTTACCACTGAGCACCTCTTCAGGAGTAGATCACAGCACTGTCCTGATCTAGTGCTTCTCAAAAATAGATTTGTACTCCAACAACCTTTGGGGTGCTGAAGTGATGGTCTGCTTTGCTTTCAGTTAGGGATGGGAATTGATTTTATTGATACCAATGCCATTATCAGTTCTGCTCATTGCTTTATCGATTCCCTTATTTATTCCTGATCAGTTTTCCGTGTGGGGAAAAAAAAGTAGGTTCACACAGGTTTTCCGTCAATGCAACTGATTTATTATCTCCGTTCTTAAAATTAATAAAATCAGAGAATATTTATACAGCACTCCTTTTCATTTAGGTTTACTTAGTCAAAGAAAATAATCTGCTGTGTTGTGCATGTGCACTGGGCAGCAGTAGCTCAGGCCATAGGGACTTGGGTGGGAACTGGAGGGTCACTCTTTCAAGTCCCCATCCAGACCAAATGTGAAGCATGGACTGGTAGCTGGAGAGTTGCCAGTTCACCTCCTTGAGCAAGGCACCAAACCCCCAACTGCTCGGGGCACCTGTCCATGGGCAACCCCCTCACTCTGACATCTCTCCATTTAATGCATGCATAGGTCCTGTTTGTGCATGTGTGTGTGTTTCGGGCCTGTGTGTATATGACAACAGTGAAAAAAATTGAATTTCCCCTCAGGGATCAATAAAGCATATCTTCTAATTTCTACTAACTCATACGTAGAGCATCAAATTTTCAATTCAATTCAATCTGATGCCTTTATTGTCATTGCACAGCAGTACAACGAAATTGTGTGATTTCTGGGCTAATACACATAAAACAGCAAAAGACAATAAACAATAACCAACAACAGTGAGACACATAAAATACACGATGGGTAAGAGAATATTAATGCAGTAATAATATAAATCCACATGCAGTGTAATACGAGCAGCAGTATAGACTTAATTGCACATCTGGCCCAGCCAAGGAGCATACACAGTATGCACTATTACATATCAGATGAATAACATGGCATTCCTTTAATTTAACTGAGTTTAATGTCATTGTTTGCAATGTGCAACTATTAGAAAAACATGCCAGTATCAATAAAAGAAATTGATAAACTTGCAGGCAAATGATTCAGATGGATTGGACAGTTTGGACCCGCTCTTCAATTCCCATCCCTACTTTCAGCTACTTAAACCTCTTTAAGGTGTAGGCTACTGCAGCTGAGAGGTTAACCACACTAGTTAATCTCCTTTCAGTGAAATCAATCACATGTAGCTGTCACCAGGCCAATGTGGAGGACCTGAAATGCCTTCAATTGTACTAACATCCTAAAATACTGAGTTTAGAAATGTCATTTCAGATGACTGGTGTGACAAGTGACCGTATCTTTCACAATAACTGCACCAAATATTGGACATTGTTCAAAATGTACTTATGAATACAAATGAAGGACAGTCAGACACAAGATTTTACATTTTACCTTTTATAAAGCTCAGGTTCCGGGAGCAAAGGAGGCACTGAGGACAGAAAGTGAAGGAAGGAGGAGTAAAAGAGAAGATGATGTATTTTTTTCTATATTTATATTTAGTCTGAAGTTACCATATTTACATCTACAAAAGAATATTTATGTATATGTGACAGCTGCAGCAACGGTGTACATTTAACACTGTATTTTGCAGCGTTGTTGGGGTTTGCTCTTTGATAAAAGCTCCGGTGACTAATCCTCCACATTTCAACTGTATTAGTAATCAAGCATTTTGCCTGTCAACTTGGTGTGAGGCAAAGCTTTCATTTCACACCTGAACTGGTGTTCTGCTATAATATGACAGTGCTATAATGTGCAGTGCTGTGTGTGTGTGTGTGTGTGTGTGTGTGTGTGTGTGTGTGTGTGTGTGCCTGACTGTGGATACAAAGCTCTCAGAAAATCAATAAGCCAGCCACAAAGAACTGCAAAGAAATATAAATGTATGTATAGTGTAACCTGTAGTTTAAAGGGTTATCTGCAGGGAGTAAATGCGATGACAAAACAAAGGACTATCAGCTGATCAATGGTTGCTATAGGGAGATATTTCTTCTGAAACCCAAATCACTACTTAGGCCACTTTTGAGGTTGAGTCCAGTATTACGAGGCAGAAAATTGCAGCAATTTTCTTGTTGTGATATTCGCATTTCATTGCTTTCTGTATGCTTCTGCTGAAAGAATTTAACCCAGAATGCATCAGGGCAGACACTGTCCAGACATGATATCCACTGACAGTAAAAACATGAAACATATGCATTGAAAGGAAATAAATAATGAAAATCTCTTGTCCTGGGTTGCTGGTATTGATTAACTGTCTCCCACAGGGGGAGCTCCTGAGCCCATGCCGGTGCAGTGGGTCAGTACGCTGCACCCACCATCCCTGCCTCATCAAATGGATCAGCGAGAGAGGCTCCTGGGCCTGTGAACTCTGCTACTACAAATATCAGGTCATTGCCATCAGCACCAAGAACCCATTACAGGTGAGCTGTGGGTGTGAAGGGCAGCGGTCCTGTGGTCGTTTAAAAAGGAGGAGAGCTGGATGAGAAGGCGAGATTTTATTACTGTGTGTGACAATATTTACAGTGTGGTGATCAGAAGCAAGTTATTGTCGGTTCTTGGAAATAGAGGTTTCTGGCAAGTTAACAGTCCGGTGAAACTGAGAACAAAATGTCTGTTTTGCCATCAGGAGAATTGTTGGTGGTTTATGAGCATAGGGGTAGAGAGCCCCAGGCCCTTCTCCTCCAGGACTCATTTGGATGCATTTTTGGTTTTCATATCAAAATTTATTTGGGACAAAACACCATTTTCAGGAATCACACTGTCTCAACTGCAGCTCTGTTTTTGCTCTGATCATAAACCGAGTACTGAAAATGAAAGTTTTGAATTAAACAAGGCTTTCCCTCTGATCTCTGGAATAGAAAGATTGCAGAAGTAACTTCTCTCTCAGTTTGAGACTTCAGTAATAAGATAGGCGGGTGAGTGGACATGGATTTTTTTTGGAGGTTTTTCTAGGCAGCACTGATGCGTGAGAGGCTGCTTTGTAATTTTGTGCTTCATATTCAGCTGTAGCGTTCCCTTAAGTTTAGTTGTTGTAACCAGATCTTTATGTGCAAATGCTAAACAAAACAAAAGATAGAAATAATTAAAATGTTTTGCATTGATATATATACCTACTCACCGTCTGTGTTAGAGGAAAAGTTTTCTGATTATCTGCCTGATTAACTTGTGGTGTGAATGTTTTTGCGTTATGCTTTTAAATCTGTGATTGTACCCACTGATTGTATCTTTCCTTTGTTGGTACTTACTCTTAATGCACTTGTTCTCTTTTTTTGTCCCCGGTGTTTTTCCAAGTATTCACTGAAGTTAAAAAAGAAATGAGAATGGAATACAAAGAGCTAAGCTGTACTGTGGTCTGTGTCTTCCTGCAGTGGCAGGCCATCTCCTTGACAGTGATAGAGAAAGTGCAGATAGCAGCAGCCATCTTGGGCTCCCTGTTCCTGATGGCGAGCATCTCCTGGCTGGTGTGGTCGTCTTTCAGCCCGTCAGCCCGCTGGCAGCGACAAGACCTGCTTTTCCAGATCTGCTACGGAATGTACGGCTTTATGGATATCGTCTGCATCGGTGAGGTGCTAGAATTTACATTGGGTTTATTACTTGTTTGATATAATTTGATCCTCATAATTCCTCTTGGGATTAATGTGTGCTTTTTAAGACTGAGAATGATATTCAGTTTGTCCAGTTTGGTACATTATGCATTCCACAGACTGAGCAAACATAATGTCAGGGTTCCCAGTAGAGTCAATAATCATGCCCGCCAGCCGTGGCAGGAACCATTTACACTATTGACAATCAATATAACAAATCTATGCTGCTATTTCATATCAATATGAATGTGTGCAGTCTTGTCATGTTACACTGGCTTGCATTTGTATTGCACACATGATTATTTGGGCACTTTTATTAATATTTTGTGCACTATTTGATATATTACTTTTACTATGTTAAAGATAAAATGCTTAGTCAAAGCTTACTCAATAAACTAAACATCAATTCAATTTTAGAACAATGAGCATTCGGTTTTTGCAGCCAAACTTTGCGTAGATATAACACAAGAATAAAAAGGTGCATCGAAACATTTTCAACCATCTTCTGGATTCATGTGGGTGTCCAAATCCAAGCTAGCAGCAGCCCCTTTAAGCCTGCCGTCCTCCTCTGGAGCCCGAGGGCCCGCGTGTTTTGGATGACTGTGTGATGGCATCTCACATTAAGAAAACTCTAACTGCCACTGCAGCAGACAGCGGGATAAGAGGAAGAGGAGATTGATTGTCTCCGGTTTGGTGGCGAGGATTGACTGTGGAGTCATTAACTCTGCACTTTACAGAGATTAACTTGTCACCTGGTGGACATTAAAGAGCAAAGACCTGACTTTCACTTATCCGCAAAGTTGGAGTGGGAGAGGAACAGGGCTGAAGAGGCGAGACAGGGTTTCATCAATAAACTCTGTAAATACAGGAGAGGTTGGGAATTATTAAGCGTCCGTTTTTATCAGAGTGCAACAGCAGAGAGCGGTGACTTCCTACAACAAAGGACGATGTTGTACGTTACCATTAAAATCTGTGAGCTGTATGATGAAACAGTTGTGTGTACAGGCCGTAGTGGTGACGATGGTACAGGAGGCAATCAGCTCAGGTTAGGCAGGCTACAAAAACATCCCATTCATAAAGAATTTCCCTCTATATGACTTTAAAATGGAAAAAAAGCTGTACAATCTTAGGGTCCAAGCATCTCTTGTTACAGATTGATTTCAATTTTCCAGATACTGAGTTCAATGAACATGAATCAATAAGCAATTCTAAACTGTGATAAGATGTTATCGAACAACCGCAGAGAACAGATGCATCACTCTTGGTAACCTAAATCCAGAAGTGGTGAGTACTGCTGTGTCATAAGTTGTGCCACGTCTACAATTTTTCTAAGAAATAAAGATCTTATCTCGGGGTTATGGTGCGATACTTTAAAGATGAGTTGTTTTGTTCTGCTGCTCCCTCGGCTAATACTTCCTGCAGGCTTTAACACACTGAATCCACCACTGCAGAGATATATATCACTTTGTGGTGTCATTAACACTACTGCCAGACAGTGACATTGTCTAATTGATCCTCTGATTTCCACAGCACTAATTGTCCACGAGGGACCTTCTGTGTTTCGCATCTTCCACCGCTGGCAGGCCGTGAACCAGCAGTGGAAAGTCCTGAACTATGATAAGTCTATGGACAGTGATGACCTGAAGAATGCCACTGTGGACAGGACTCTGTCTCAGCCCAGCCCGGTCTACCAGACTGGGGTAGGGGTGTCCACCTCCACCTCCTCGCTCATGGTGGTAGCCTCCACAGCCGACGGCTCCACCTCTACAACCATGGTGACGGCTGCGGGAGGACTGGGAACACATGTGGACCCCAACAGCGGCAGCACAGTGCCAGACCAACACTGTCCCTACAACATCCTCCACCTCCTCAGCCATCTCAGGCAGCCGGAGGCCCGCAGCCAACCCAGCAATAGCACACGAGAGCTGGTCATGAGAGTCACTACAGTCTGAGGAGTCAGTTGAGGCCTTATCTCACACGGAGGTGAAAGATTTATGAACCAGCTGACAGTTGAAAAAAAAGTCATATCTTAACTGCACTGGATTAATACCATGTTCTTGTTTGTTTCAAAATGCATCTCTGATGTCCTTACATGGATTGAATAAAAGTCGAAGTTGTTTGATTTGCAGAACTGCTTGGGAAATTGTTATTTTGGATATTTGGGGTAAAGAATATTTGCTAATATGTGCATATATATTCATTCCTGGTCTTTTGAAACAGTATACAGGATCTAAGATCAAAGGTCCCCTTACTATTGATGCAGAGCTTTCAGCCGCATCTCAGGTGACACCTCAGCCAGCTCTGCTTGATGAATGACGACTGAAATGCTGTTGAGAACACTAAATCCTTCATAAGAGGACTTTTGAGCTCTGTCATATATTTTTACCCGAACATCTGTCTGTATTACATAATGATCTGAAAATAACTGAAGGAAGAACTGCCTCTAAACTTACTTTTATGATAGAAAACCTGTAGATTTTTAACATCTGCATCTGGACCTGGATCAAAGCAATGATAATTAGTGACAATTATCTCTGCATGTTATATTAATGTACTGTAACTCTTCTCTATATTGCATACACTGTGGTGTAAGATCCAGGTTGAACGCCTGCTGTGTGTCCAAAGATAGCAGCAGATTGCAGCTGCTGAATGTAAGCTGGGAAAATGTATAAAGGTGCAACAACTAAAATCTTGTCATTCTAAATAACAGGTGAGATATGGGACAGTAAACACGCAGTCTAAACTAATTTGTAAACCCTATTTCCAGCTTAATCGATGCAGGTTTGAAGCACTGGTTGGTACTTTGTCTTCAATGTGCTTCTTTATTTGTAGTTCCGGCGTTTTCTTTCCAGATGCTATTAAGAGTTTTTGTTGAGTCTTGAGAATGCAGTTGCTCTTTTCTCAAAATGAGGCATTTTTTTCTAACATTACATCAATATACCATCCCTCCATACAATAACGGGGGGAAAACAACAGCAAGGACCGTCATCAGCTAGTCTGCATATATCTGCTCCTACCAGTGTCTCCACGCATGGCAACGTGTTCCTGCTCCAAAGCAGCGGTGTCACTTGCAGTCCATTAGGGGCGTACTCGTGTTCACATTTGGCTCACAAAGCCGGTGATTTCCCCCTCTCTCGGCTCTCAGATTCAGATATGCTCTTTGATATTTTCTCCACAGCTCGTGTTTCATGTCCACAAAAGATGAGTTTCATCCCAGGGGACAGTGGATCTCTGAAGCGTGTTGTGGGAGGGAAGAAACACTGTTAAAAGCATGCTCATAGTCGGGTGGAGATGGTGGGGAAGGGGGGTTATTGATGTTACCCATTTTTCCCACAACTTCTGACACAGTGATGCTGTACAGGGAGGACACTGTGTATTACTCTACTGTCTTTAACTTGAATGCCGTCCTGTAAAAAAAACCCCATCATTTTGAAGCTAATATTATCCGTTGCAAGCAAAAAGCCCAAAGCTGATCATAGTGTGAAATATTTTTCAGGAGCTCTGCCTCAGATGCCTTTGAGCCTTTTCCAACATGCATTACATTAAAACACATCATTAGTTTAGAAAGGCATCTGATATGAATGAGGAGCTTAATGTCGGGCTATTTATTTTTTATTCCTGTAGGTTTTTGCAGTGCAGCTGTACACTGTAACCTTGTCTCATCAGTATAACACTGCTAACTTGTTTAACAAAGAGTTTAATTGGGAAACAAAGTATAATCATGACATGCATTACCTGCTTTTTGTTTGGCCTTTCCTCCTAATTAATCTCCACATTACCTGGTGGATGTGCAACTCTGCTGTTTCTCGTCATCATCAAATGCCAGGAGTACAGTATCTGCAGAGAATCAGGTAGCGCCGTGATTTTCTGCTGAATTATTTAAGCCATGAAGTGCTGATATCAATGGGTGGGAGCTTCTCTATAGAACCGACTTGCAAAGAGCTGGGAGGTCGTGAGGAGTTCATGATGAATCTGCTTGCCTCAGTTCTCTTCACACCTTGTCTCTTTGAACTCACAGGCGCGCACACATAGCTTTGATAAAGAAAACTCACAAAACAACCAAAATACATAGGAATTTATCACCTGGATGTCCTCTTTCAGGATTAATATGGAGCATGTCTCCAGCAGCTTAATTATTTAACGCCGCTCACTTGCACATGTTGAGATCGTTTCAATTTCATGCTTTGGAATTAACATACTGCATGTAGAAATTTATGTTGGGGCTGGGAGTACAAAGTAACTTTCAACACTATATTTTCAATTTGAAATCTCACTCAAGCTTTTCATTCTCACTCATTGCTCTCAGGCTTCATTTAATCACTAGACAGCCTCAACCTTCTTCTGTCATCAGAAATAAATATATTTTTAGTGAACATTTTAAATAAAAACTACTGTGGTGGTTTTAAAATTTCAGATTGAAGGAATCATATCATGTCAAGAAGTCTTTCATGAAGCTCATCAATCAGATTTTCCATCACATTTTAAAGCTTTTAATATTCCTAACATCTCTGCTAAAGCAAATAATTGAGGCACTTTGCAGAGTCTGACTGCGTGAAATTCACAGGAAGCAGTAATTTCAGACAGGTTGTCTTTCTCCTGGTTGGTTGTACGGTGTAATAAAACCATTATACGCGTTGCTTTCATCTGCAGAAAATTGACCCAAAAAGGATTTTTGCAGACTATATACAACACAGAACCTTTGAAACTGGGTAAATTGCATACAGCTAATGTGCTACTCAAGCAGGTCATCTAAAGTCTGAATCAGACAGGCAGAAAGCGCCGCATTCATTCCCTGCAACCTCTGAAAATTAAAAGGTGCATTTTTAAAGTGCTGCTCATTTTTTGTTGAGGTGAGATGAAATGAAAGAGGCGAGAAGCATCGATGGTCAACAACAATGCTAGGAGAGATCGAAGGACAGGCAGCCTTAACACTTATGGTTAGACACATGCATCCCTCCTTTTTCTTCAGACCTGTTCAAGATCAGCTGCTGAAGCCTGAAGCCGAGTCTTTTGGTTGAGTTGTCATGGAAAAACAAATGGGCAATTTAGAGGTTCCAGTTCAACTCATCTGCATGTTTTTAGACTGGGCGTACAAACACACAGGAAGAAACTCCAAACAGGAAGTCTAGAGATTCACACCCACAACCTTGTTGCTGAGAGATGACAACCACTGAGCCGTCGCCATGCTGGGCCTTTAAATTTGAAACCACCCATTACTTCTAGTCATTACTTTATCTGGGAATCTTCCATCATGTAGAAATAGACTTTTACAAGCAAGGAACCAATTGAAAAGACGAAAGGCACTCTGCACTTCACTTGTCAAAAAAGATCATCAGTTACAGAAATGATTCTCAGTAACATGTTTTTTTGCAGCTTGTGTTCTCCCCCTGGTGGCTCGTTGGTGTACTGAAGACTTGTAAAAAAAAAATCAAGCAATCAACTTTATATCCACAGTCGTGTGGTAAGATTTGAGGTGTGTGCAGAGGTTCTTTCTTTCTGTGCACTTTCAACATTGTATATACTCCGATGTACAGCTGCGATAACTCAATTACAGCAACAAGCAGGAGTTTAATGTCTTGCTATAGGGTATTTCCACGTGACATATGGTACATCTCTGTAAACAGAAGAACACACAGACCACCCTGCTCACTGAAACAGATTTTTATGTCTGTGCGAAACGATGATAAACAGTTCAGGCACCGCTTGTAGTGGAAAGTAAATAAGTGCATTTACTCAAGCACTTCTTTCTTGAATACACCCCACAGAAATTTGAACAGAAAGCAAGAAAAGCACAGAGGACATGAGCCCAATGTCCTTGATGGGAACTACAACGCTTGCTTTGTAGATACAAATATTTTACTTACAAAATACGTGATCAGCTTGTAAAACACGATGCAATGCTACAGAGTAATCTACAACCCTATAATTTGCTCCACCTCCACCAGCTGCAACACTCATTCTGCTTTAGTACCTATAAATACATCAGAAATAATAATACAACATTATAATATGGAGTCACTTTGCATAGTGATCCCTTTTTGATTTTTTTTCCCACAAATTCTTCAATGCAGGGCTTTTACATGTATTAGATTATGTTTACAGTGTGGTTTAACAGTCAAATATATTATAAAAAAAATATCAGACCTCGTCAAAAAAGTAACAACAAAGTCCTTGGTCTTAATTCCATTGCTGTCCCCTGTGGTGGTGTTGATGCCGTAACAAAAGGTCTAGTGTGTGTAGGATACTGTAAGATTGTACATATTGATTTATTAGCCCTTTTCTACACAGAGATTGCTGCTACAAAGTCCCTCCCTTATGCCGCCTTTGCTTTTTACAAAGAATCAAACAAGGGTGACATCATGCTGTGCCAGTGTGTGATTTTCGACAGCATAAGAAGAAGAAGCAAAAGAGGCCTGGCAGGTGTGATGTGTAACACAACAGTGTCTGCCTCTAGTGCTCTAGTGTGACATACAACATACATGTTAACAGCGCTTTATGAACTATAACAATGGCAAAATATGGCACTGACAATTATTTACTGTCCCTGTTATGTGGTGGCTGATCTTGTCCTCTGCTCGGAGGATAAGGAGCTCATTGTTTTTCAATTTGTGAACATTTTCAGCCTCTGTTCTTCGTCCTTGAGTTAGCCGCTAACTGCTTTCAGCTGCTTTTTAAATGTGCCACAGCGGCACACCCATCCTGCCCATAATCCTGTCCTGCCAGCTGTCCCTTTTATGCTGATGTCATGTCAGCGCTGTTAATACCTCTGCTGTTGGCCTCAAGGTGAGACAACTCTGCCCCCAGTTCCACGATCGTACCTTTTATACAAAATGGCGAGGCAGAATAACGATGTGAAATTCCCGCCTTGAAGGAGCAGTGTAAAAGGGGCTACAGACTGGTTGGGGACCAGGTTTAACAAGAGCACATTTATTTCAAAACATCCATTTGCAAACTTCTTCACATCCAAGTCTCATTTATTCAGTCGAATGCTTAGTAATTCTCAAACACATGCATTTTTCAATAAAAAAAAAAAAAACGATTGGAGTCTGGCTTTGAAGAGAGCATAGATAAGTTTTTTACTTTCAGTTCAGTTTTAAATGGTAAGGTTTTAGCATACGACTGGATAAATGAGATTTGGATTATACTGCAGTTGTGTAAGCGTTTGTGAACAGATGTTTTCATGTAGTTTTGCTGTTGTTAAACCTGGTCCCCAATCAATCAGTATATGTTTGCTGTTTTCCACGGCAAGAAAAGGTTTTCTTCAAGAATTCAAGGTAACACAGCATGACTAACTGATTGACAAGTGGTCATTTTGCAGGTGAAGTGTTCCTTTAAGGGTGTCATAACTGCATTAATGTGTAAGAAACTTGAGTGTCCTAGTTTGTGGAGGTAACTCTAATTATTGTTCCTCGTTCTTCCCCTCGTGGTGCACAGCTGCTCCACCTGTAAGCGTTAATGTGGATGCAGCAGGCATTTAAAAGGAGTGTTGCCTGGGAGAAAGATTGCCTGCCTCTCTCTTAATCGCTCAGTTGCTCACTCAGCATCTCTTCAGAAAAGCACCCCCACCCTACGCGCGCACACACACACACACACACACACACACACACACACACACACACACACACACACTCGGGTGCTCTATAAACAGCGGCAGCACTCTGTGAGCAGGTCAATAGCAGTACCACTGCATTTCTCTAACTGAGCCCCTGATGAGGGACTTCCTGAGCACGCTGCCTTTTGAAAGTCGATAAACAGACCGCTTTGTATACACTAATGCATTCCTGCTGATTGTCACATTGGGTCAGAACTACACTGTGTGACCTGATTAAAATATGTCTGTCAAACTAGGGCACATGCCAAGAAATGTCCAATCCTAACGTGCAGCATTGCCAAATTTCCCATGTTTACCATGGCTGCCTAGTTTTGTTTGCACTTTGCATGAGTGGGACCTGTAAACAACATGGTTTACAGTATCTCTGCAACTTTATTGAGTAAAATTTGAATCAGCCACAGTATAACATCATTTCTAGATCTGACAAGGCTCTCATCAGTCGTTCTGCTTGTTGAAAAAGGCCTGTCCTTCACACTCTCTTTACTTTTTTTTGAGCTTTCTTTTTAGTGTTTCTCTTTTCTTTGTTTTGTTTATGACAGTGAATATTTCACCATTCACTTGAGGATCATATTAAAGTGGTGATTAAGATCTGCTGTTTTCCAAGTATGGGTATGGCTGCATCCTCAAAGTAATGTGCGTGATCAAAGAAGTAGATAAAAAGCAAATGGTTTATGTGAGGGTCAGGTCTTCTCATCTATTCTCTACTTTCCTTATATGCCCTTCTCTCCAAGCCTGCACCCGCCTCGCCCCTGGCATATTACTGGATATATGTGGATTATCAGTTCTTTGGCCTTATTTTGGTGCGTTCATGTGCTGGTGGAAATGTCCAACATCATGAACGTACACTTTAACTGCTAAACACGATAATTATCATTATCATTATTATCATTATTATTATTATTATTATTATTATTATTATTACAAACAAGAAAAGAGCTAACAAAAATAAAAAACTTATCTAAGAAACGATAATAAATAATTATACAATTTGCAGATTTTGTTGTCGTTTTTTTATTTTATTTTATTTTTAATTTAATTTAATTTAATTCAATTCAATTCAATTCAATTTAATTTAATTTAATTTATTTGTACTACACCCAAATAGCTTTTGCCTTTTCATTATCTTCCACCTCTAATGCTCTCCAAATAAACTCTTGATCTTCGGATTATTTTTCCCTTGCAGCTTTTTTTTTTTTTAAATGCCAGTTATGCCTGTCTATGTCGACTTTAGAAAGATCCGCCACTGAAAATTACCTTTAAATACTCAATCCTGAAAGTCGAACAAAAAAATAATTCTTAACATATAATACAAAGCTTGATAGACCTCAGAGTGCTGTAATCACTGAAAATAACATTTAAATATGTTTCTGTTTTTAATGAATTCTTCAACAACATTCACATGAACATCCATTTACAGCAGGTGGGGGTCATACAAGTTATTATTATAAGCCTCTTCAGCAAATTATCGCATGACTAAAAAGAATGCATAATTACAGCAACGGGCTCCATCTCTAGATTAACTCCGGCACTTAATGCATCCTGGTATAAAAACATAATTGATTTGTCTTAATGGTGGGACTCTTTGGTCAGCTGTGAGAAAACTTACAGTGAAGTTACACACACCAGAGTCTGTTAAGTGCCTCACATAACACTTTCACCAAAGCTTGTTAAATGAAGCATAAAGTTTCAATCATCAGGACCACTGAGTGACCTCGCCACACTTACTGCAGAAGGGAAACGTCTCTGCCCTTGATTTATTAAAAAAAAAAAAGAAAAGAATAAAATCATGGATGCATGAAAAGACAGGCAGGTCATCTGTGATAATCTATCCGCAGCACTGAAAAGGAAAAACGTCCTTCAGGAGACAATGAAAAATTTATTTCATGTCTCATGGCAATGAGATAAGATAACCCATGTCTCATTGCCATGAGACATGGGTTATCTTATCTGGTTAATAATAAAATGTAAAAGTTAAAGTGGCATCTAAAAGTAAAACGATATTGAATTAGGGGGGAACACCACCTATATTAAGAATTTCAGTATGTTATTTCCATGGCCTAGAAAACTGCAATCAATATTTGTGAACATGAGCTACTCTCTCAAACCCAGAAACCAGAGACGTAACTCTCAAACTTGTAATGTCACCAAGTATAAGTGTGGGGCTGCTCCATAGACAATTAATGGAGGAGTGATTTTGTGGACCCACAGTTCGTTTCTTTTCTTACACCGAAATAAACTTTATTCTATTGTAGTGTTCTCACCTTTGAAACAGAATATGTACCCATATACTCAGAACAAACCTCTGCGTGCTCTCAGTGTCGTCTATAACATCTTTCCTCATTCATTGTCTATGGAGCAGCTCCAGACCTTATACGCAATGATGTCACAAATTTGAGGAATTACATAGTGAACCGGAGCTGGGAAGTGAACCCGGTTTGGACTAGATTTGCAACCTCAGGGAATAGCTCTAGGAGGTGCACAAACTGACCAGACAGGCCCTTTCAGACATGGGGTCCTGACAGAAACAGACCTATAACTCTCACTGCAGGAAGGAGGACTTTGCTCCTGGAGCGCAGGTGTAGGTCTACAGCCCCGAAAGGAAGAAGGGCCTTTCCCCCAAGCTGACAGTGGGTCAGTGGGTCAGATCTTATACTGTCATTGAGAAACTGTCGGACATCGTGTACAGGTTGCAGCTTGTCAAGAGGAACTGGGTGGTAGTGCCCCACCACGACACCACCTTGCACCCTACCAACCCTTGGCTCCATCTGAGGGTGAGTCAGGGGTGAGCCAGCCCCAGACCAGCATACACACACCCAAAAACCACCAAGGGACCACCTGAGCAGGTGCAACGACAGCGTCAGCTTCCCCAACACCTAAGGGACTTTGTTATAAACATATGGGTTGCTTGGGACAGCTAACTAGCTCAGAGGGGGCTGTGTGCCATGTTAGGGCTAAATGGGTGGAGTTTCCCAGCACTCAGTGAGACAATGTGTTTAAGGCCATAAGCTGAAGTCAGCTGATAGATCACATGATTCCTTTCTATGCAACTAATTGGGGAATCTCATTCAGGGTGCCCCATTTAAACTGCTCTGATCTGCCTACTGTTGCTGCTTCCTCTGCAAGCTGCTTTGAAACCCTCCTCCACCCCAGCTCCTCCTTTTCATGTGGTGTCTGACTTATCAGTGTCATTTCTGTTTGTCATTGCTGCTGCTTTCTCTGCCTTAGGCTTTCCATGTAGGCGCATGGAAGGGCAGGGAGCTTTGCTGTCTCTGCCTCAGGCTTTCTTTGTACACACATGGAAGTGCAGAGAGGTGTGCTCTCTCCACCTTAGGCTTTCCACATAGACACATGGAAGAGGCTTTCTGCTGAGGCCCGAGGAAAGGCAGAGGCCCCAGAACAGAGCCATACAGTAGAATATAATACTGCAAATGGAAGTAAAGTTTTTTTTGTCTAAAGTGTTCCTGACTGAACTGTTTAAATGTGTTCCAAATCACTCACATGATATCTATTATGCAGTGATTGATGTTAATGTGGGTTACAGTTAATGTTGTGGTAAAATCTGCTCCATGTGCACACGGTTAGTGACCTCCCGCTTGTGTGGCTATCAGATTGTTTACTGTAATGGTGTGCAGCTGTAAAATAAAGAGGACTTTGTAGTTCAGAGTTCACCTCCATACCTTGCTCTTGCTAATAACAAACCAAAGCTTGCTATAATATATGATTTCCCAGAGGAGATGTATTCAAATTGATTGTTTTGTTTTACCAACAGTAAAAACCCCAAACACAAGAGCAGCACATCCTCACATTTGAGAACTTGAACCATAGAAATGATTCAATTAATATATTAATCTTCAATAAAGGCATACTGACTAATTATCAGCTGTTCGGCTGGTGATTAACCGATGAGGTCCTTTTAATAAACTGTCATTTTTGGGAGGTTGCAGGCAGAGACATTCCAACAGGACATCTCTGGTCCTGTATAGTCCTGAAACATAAACAGACAGTGAGTATGTGCAGCTCTCTCCATGTAAGGATATGAAGCAGTGGAGCTGAAGTGTTTGTAAAGCTGCTGTTTGGAGAGATTCAGTCTGTGACTCGCACATTTATTCTGTCAAATCAGGCAGATAAATAGATTATTGCAGCATGTTGTGTTTACTTAAAGCTGATTTATTCCCCAAGAATTACACAATCGCTGCGGAGACCGCGCTGTCTCTCTCGACTCCAGCTGCTGTGTCAAACGCCAGACGATGATCTAAACATCAGCTCTCCAATGAAGTTCCCTCCCGCACGCGCGCGCCCCCAGACGCGCTCGTGCGTCTGTTGAGATTAAAACGGGCGTCTCCTCGACCAGAAGCTGACCCTGACTCCGCTGATATGGGAACTTTTGATTGAGATGATTATCTGTAGTTTACAGTCTCTGGAAACTGTGAATTTCCTGACAGTCTCGAGTCGCAGTTTACAGTAGATTTTACTGTCTACTGTCGCCGCGGTGAGTGCACTTTATTTTAACTTTACTTTTCACTTTATTTTAAAAGTTCAGTGCGGTGTAGTGCTTCGGGCTCAAACCAGATAAGCAGCTCGAAATGTAAAGATATTACTCTTCTGTTTATGTATACTTGACTTTACAGCTGAATGTGTTTTTGTAAGAGAATAACTCGAAGTAAGGAGAGTGAAATTGAGGCAAGTGGGCACTAGTATTGTGGGTGATACTCTGTTGTAAGTGAAAGTTCAAAAAGTAAAAGTATTAGCAGCAAAATGTACTTAAAGCATCAAAAGTAAAAGTACTCATCATCCAGAGTCTGAGAATTTTACATTATTGTATATTCGGTGTTGCAGAGTAACTAGTTACATGCCGAGGTGCCCCTGAGCAAGGCACCGAACCCCCCAACCGCTCAGAGCGCCTGTCATGGGCAGCCCACTCTGACATCTCTCCACTTAGTGCATGTTATTGATAAAAAAAAATATGTAGATAGATAGATAGATAGATAGATAGACAGCCGCAAGTAATCAAACAGTATGTGGACAGTAATACACATGTAAATACGAGAGGACAAAAACAGATCACAATAAAAAATATATGAGAATATAGAAATAGAAAATATATCCAAAAATAATAGTACTAAAATATATAAAATAAATATAAAAATATAAAAAGAAATGTGAAAAAAAATCTAAAATATTTTTAATAAATAAAAATATACAAGATAAACATACAGAATATCATATCAAAAATATCAAAATTGCAGGAGTTAAAAAAAAAGAAGATCAATTATATAAATAACAGAGTGAGAGGCTGTCACAAAAACGTGCAAATAGCCAGCAAAATAGCTAACAAGTGTGCAATGTGTAATTAAATTACAGGTAATGATAAAAAAATATTGGTGATTACAGTCTGAATAAGTTATATCCTTTTGGGTAAAAAGATTATATGTCGAATATAACATTAATTTTTTGGACATTTTTCAGCTTTATTGTCCAGTTTAAAACATTTGTTAGAAAAGTATTTGAAAAAGAATCAAATGTAATAAGTTACTTTTATGAAGTAATTAAAATAGTTACTTAAGACATTTTTATCAGGGTAACTAGTGATCTGGAAACTATTATATTTTAAAAGTAACCATCCCATCACTGTTTATTGTCTAGTCAGCGGTGGAGGAAGTATTTCGAGCCTTATACTTAAGTAAAAGTACTACTATCACACTTTAAAAAGTAGGTCTACTCTGTTACAAGTAGAACTCCTGCACTGAAAATGCTTCTTAAGCAAAAGTATGTAATTGTGATCAGGAAAATCTACTTAAAATATTTTACGTAAAAGCACTTTGCAGAAAAATGTCCCCCCGTGACTGGGATTTAAACTATTGTAAAAATAGTCACTTATTCATTTTCTATCAGTCAACTTATTGGTTAATCAACTGATCTTTCCAGCTGTACTTGTATATACTATTGGGTGGTTTCATTTATAATTAAATTGCATTTTTTAAGCTTTTTATATATTTTGTGTGCAAAAATCTGAATTTGTAATGTAACTAAAGCTGTCAGATACTTGAAATGAGGTAAAAAGTATAATAATTTCCTCTGAGATGTAGTGAGGCAGAAGTATAAAGTGGCATGGAAACAAAGGCAAAGTACAAGTACCTCAACTTTGTACTTACGTAAGTACAGCACTTCACTAACTGTACTTAGTTATATTCATCCACTGATTATAATATTATAGTACTTTATACTTCTTTTCCACCACATTTCAGAGGTAAATATTGTACTTTTTACTCCCCTAAAATTTATTTGATAACTTCAGTTACTATTTGCAGATTCTGATTAATATTCCAAAATATATTCAACATTGGCGGCACAGTGGTGCAGTGGTTAGCATTGTCACCTCACAGCAATAGGGTTTCTGGATTAAACCTGGGGTGGGGGAGCCCCTCTGTGCAGAGTTTGCATGTTCTCCCCGTGTCAGTGTGGGTTTTCTCAGGGTGCTCCAGCTTCCTTCCACAGTCCAAAGACATGCAGGTTAATTGGTGACTCTAAATTGTCCGTAGGTGTGAATGTGAGTGTGAATGGTTGTCTGTCTCTATGTATCAGCCCTGTGATAGTCTGGTGACCTGTCCAGGGTGTACCCCGCCTCTCGCCCAATGTCAGCTTAGATAGGCTCCTTCAAATCACTTTAAGGGCATATCACCATGGTGATATACCATTCTCGGTCAAATCCACCATCCCAAAAAATTAGTGCTGGGTGCTGGACTAATTTTTTGGGATGTGCGTGCTATTTTTACATGTTTAAGAGACTAAAGTAAACAATAATTTTCAAAAGGGTTAGTACTCTGCCTCAAATGAATACAGGCAACAATCAGATTCAAAGGCGTCATCCACATTGCCAAAATCAGGTAAAAAATCATTCTTGATCTTTAGTCATTAGTTCAAGGTCCCACAATTCAATACAATTAGTGTCATACTTGCTTTTGGCCATGTCATTGAGCTAGTCTCTGTCAAGTAGCTGTCAGTTAGACACTCACTCTAAAGCAGAAAATGGCACTGAGTAATAAAAGCTCTATGCTGGAAATTTACTGTACTTTTATTTTTTTTCCAAACTTGACACATTTGCGAGTCACTTGCGGTCCATTCAGAATGGGCCCGCAACCCACCAGCTGGGAACCGCTGTTTTAGATAACACTAAAACTATGTTCCCTGTAACAAATCTGGTTATTATACTGTCTCCAAATCTCATGCACGTTTCCACTGTTGTCTTCCTGCAGCAAGTGACATCTCATGAGATTTCAAAACAAAACCTCTGCTTAACAAGACAATAACAAGCAGACCGAATCAAGTGAAAGGTAAAGAGACACTTCAGACACTTATAACAATTTGAGCCTGTCTGTGGCAAAAATAACCACTTCTAATGGAGACATGGGGACAATGTTCACTTGCCCCATATGCTTACATTGCAGCCCATTGCGCTGCAGCTTTCCTCTCACTAAATACTGGTCCGATTTTTAAAAATTGTTCATATCAGTCTCTTAGACACATATACATGGGAAAATAGGGTTCAGGTTAAAAATGCAGAAGTTATCCTTTAAGTACAAGATCTAAGTGCTTCTTTCACCTCTGATAATGTTGTAGCTGGTCTAGAGGAGCTACTTTTATCTACATTATATACTGTCGGGTAGTTTAATCTATTTCAGTGCATCATTAAATGTAATAAAATGTTTATGTTTTGGATGTAACTATAGCAGTTAAGTACAATATTCCCCTCTGAGATGTAGTTGAGAAGAGGTCTTAAACAACATCCAAATGAAATACTCAAATAAAATACAACTATCTAAAAATAGTACTACATTTATGTAGTTACACTCCACCACTGTACAACAACACAGCTGTTTTGGATTTGATTTCTTTGACTGATGAACTCTTATCTATTTGTTGTCATCTGTATGTTTTGAGAAGCCAAGCTGTAGATCAGGGTTGTGCTAAACCAACAGTTTAATCTGTGTTTTACTCATTTCTTGTTTGTTTATATTATGTTACAGAGATTTAGTGCTTTTATTAAAAGTAATTCTCTCCAAATGTACAGCACACCGCTGTCCTCTCAACTCGCACCTAACAGTACCACTCTTCCTCAGCTAAACTCTTATCTAGGTCCTTTTTTTGTATTTTATGAAACAGTTTGGGGACCCCCTGCATGGAGGTCCCCAAACAGGTGGGATGCAACAACAAATTTCCATTTCTCCTATAATTTTAAATATTGTCCTCTTTTTCCACTGTGTGGTTATTCACTGACATTGTTTAAAACAACGATAAACATTCCTAAGCCCTGCGGAGACGCCTTCTGTAAAGCCTCACTTGTTTGACAGCTATTTCCTGCATTCAAAGAGAGTGTTAGAGTTAAAAGTAAGCCTGTCCTCTCCTCTCTGTCTTGGATTTTTTTAAATTATTTTTTTCCCAGGAAAAATGGCAGTGATTTCAGGGTTCATCTTACTGTGCATGCTCCACGCTGCAGTCCCTCAAGGTGTGGGCCCTCGTGGACCCAGGCCAGTACCCGGGCGAGGTGACAGTCCAAATCCGACTCCACCTCCATTCCCACCCAGACCTGAAGATTGTAAGAGTGAGTTCCATACATTTCTTTTTAGCTCAATAGAATATGATAGTAATTACCATAAAACTTCAATTAAAAGCCTAGTCCCAATAAAAAGCCCAGTCCCTTTTACTAACCTGGTGTGGCTACACATTTTGACAAATAAAGGCCTGTCTCAATTAGAGGCCTGGTCTGGTTGCCAAGCAGTTCATTTTTGTGTAAACCAGGTTGTTGGCTACTTCAAATTATGTGTCCATTCCTCGATTACTTATAAGTTATTCCCTTAGTCCGTAAGGGTCGTCAGATCAAAAGAATCAAAAGGGTTATTCAAAAAAATTAAACCAAGTTGTGAGTATTGTTTTAACAAGATAAAGTGGTGTTGTGTCGGTATGCTGGGTGGCATAAAACAAGCGCCGTCACTCAATCTCTCGCTGATGCGCTGTCTGTCGGAGCTAGATCAAATGAATGATTCAAAATTGACATTATCTGAAGCCTACTTTTTATACAAGTGATATTCATGGTTTAAATAAACATTTTAATCATATTTCCCATCTTTGCTGAGCATCAGTTTTGTGTGAAAGGAATTAAAGTTTTACAGTATATCTAAGAACTCAGAATTGAGGCCTTTACATGAATTTAATGTTAAAAGAAGTATTCAAAGCTTTAAGTAAAAGGAGAAATACTACACGATAAAAACACTCCATCATTTAAAATATTACTTACATAAAAGCTAGTACTGGTGACAAAATGTACTTAAAGTATTTAAAATAAATTACTCTGAACATGAACGTCTGTACTGACTGTTATTGATGTATTAACATGCAAGCAGTAGTTTAATGTTGTTTTAGTCCAGGTGGAGCTCATTCACATTTCTCAATATATATTGTTTGTTCTGTTATTTGTAATATTTATCTGAAAAGTATCCAGCAACTATAGCTTTTAGGAGGAAAAAATGGAGTCCCTCTGAAATGTAGTGGAGTTGGAGTATACAGTAGCATGAAAACAAAAATGCTTAAGTAAAATAAAAGTACCACAGAACTGTAGAACTGAACTACCAGTGATGGAGGAAGTAGTTAGATCTTTTACTTAAATAAAACTACTAAAACGCTGTTAAAAAAAAAAAAAAAAATTGTTAAATCACCTTTTAAGTGCTGAGGAGGGACTTTTTAAAAAAAAAAAAAAAAAAAAAAATTCGGCGTAGGGGAGAGACAGGCAACTTTAAATGTTTGTATTTTGAATTTATTTTAAATACCTTCTCAACCCCAAATTCCACCAGTAGGTTTGGAGGGCATGTTTCCTTTTTAAATCGGTCAAAAACAAATCATTGAAACTGTTACAACAGAAATTATTGTTGGATTTTCACCTTTTCGACAGTCCTCGATTTCACCATCTCGGACAAACACTTCCATCGGGAAACGTAACCAAAGTTAAGCTTAATAAAGTGATATTTAATACAAATTACTTTATTCTATATCTTATTTGAAATTTCACCAAAACTAAACGGTTTGCATGAACCAGATACAGTTAAAAAAAATATTTAATTTTGCGCTCCTGCATGCATGAAGAAAAAAACAAGGCTTTTTACAACTCCAGGATTTTGTTTAATTTCATATCATCACAGGATTTGAAAACAATAATAAAAATAAGAAATTAGCTGATGTTTTGGTGACATCTCTCACTCCCTCTGTGCTGTTTGGTCTTGCATTAGCTTCTATACCCACATATGGTGCGATTATAAAAAAATATACAATATTTATGGCTGGAGGAGGGTCATGCATTTTACCCCAGTCACTCTGGGAAGCACAAGGAAAAATAATTGCAGCCTTGAGGAGGAAAGTGAGAAAAAAAATGATCATCAACAATTATCAAAATAGTTGCCAATGAATGTTCTGTCAGCCAACTAATCACTTTAAATTAATCACGTCAGCTCTAATTGTATATGCTGATGGGTTCAGTAGTTTAATGTATCACCAAGCATCGCATTTTTTAAGTTCTTCATTTGTATTTGTGCAAAAGGATTAATTTGTGAAGTAACTGTGAAATAAATGGAGTGGAATAAAAACTATAATATGTCCCTCTGAAATGTAGTGGAGTTGAGAAATAAAGAAAATACTCACACATAAAACTACTTCAAAACTACTTACATACAGTACTTTAGTAAATGTAGCTACTTTCCACCAATGTCTATATTACATTTGTAATTTGCGTCCAGTGCCACAAATTACACCTAAACGTGCAACAAAGCAGTGAAAATGTTCACACATTTGTCATTTTTGTCACGTTTTCTCCTCTAGCTGGAATAATCCATTGTCCTGTCAAGCTGTTTTTCACGCTCGACACTTCAGAGACTATCGCCTTACAGGAGGCGCCTCCTGGCAGCCTGGTGACGAAAGTGAAGGAGTTCACCAAGATGTTTGCCCAGGAGCTGAATGATGAGTTGTACAAGGGCCACGTCCAAATCTCCTGGTCCATAGGAGGCCTGAACTTCTCCGAGACACAGTTTATCTTCAGTCAGTTCACAAACAAGGAGACCTTCATCAGGAACGTTACAGGGATTATATACGAGGGCAAAGGCACCTTCACCGACTGCGCCCTTGAAAGAATGGCTAAGTACATGACCGAACACTCCACAGGGACGAAGTCTGTGCTCTTCTCTGTGGTCATCACTGATGGCCATGTGACAGGAAGTCCATGTGGAGGGATAAAGGCAATGGCAGAGAAGGCCCGGGAGAAAGGGATCCAAATTTTCTCAGTGGCAGCGTCCAGGAGCATTGATGACTTGGGGATGAAAGAGATAGCCAGCTCTCCTGCTGAAGTGTACCGTGATGACTACATAGTTGTGGACATCATTAATGACAAACCCCGAATAGTGACTGAATCCATCCAACGTATCATAAAAGCCATGGTGATCTGAAATCATTTCCCTTTCTTGAAAAGATGCTTCTATTTTAATTAGGGCTGGGCAATACATTGATAATATATCGACATCATGATATGAGACCAGATATCGACTTAGATTTCGGAGATCGAAATATTGTAACTGTCGTCTTTTCCTGGTTTTAAAGGCTGCATTACAGTAAAGTGATGTCATATTCTGAACTGACCAGACTGCTAGCTGTTCTAATATTTGCCTTTTTACTAAGGATGTCATGACAACTGACACTTCTGCACCAATTCAATGCCAAAATTCTGAAAACGTGATGGTACTCATTTATCTCCAGTACCAAAGGTACCAGGGGTACAATTCTTCTGATCCTGTCAAGGTAGCGTACACACCTACAAGTGTTCTAGTCTGGCGTTAAATTTCAAAGGAAGAAGACCGCCTGCCAACACAGACAAACAACAACCCTATGTGGAAGATGGCAACAAGTGCAGCTGCAGCGACAGCTCCCCTTTGACTCGTTGAAAAGAAAAGCGTTTACATTTTTTTGCAGTGTGAGTGCCGTATATTTACATGATGCTACAAAAGCCAGCAGCGTGACGAGGCACTGAGCATGGATTCTGTGCTGAGTGCTGCAGGTTGGCATTTTTTTCTGGTGGCCGAGAGCTGAAAAATGTTCAGCTCTGGGCAAAACTCTGCACTCGTCACTGTCACATTTTACCCAGCTGCCCAATCAGTGAAGAAGGGGCAAGACAAATAAGACCAACCCTCACATCCTACATGAACGAGCGCTGAACAACAATGGATAGGAATATGTCACTACACTGAAGGCTATATATTAATTTGTTTCCTCACTCAAAAAAAAAACCAACAATAAACCACACAGACTAGTACTTTGCGTTGAAGCGTATCATCAGGAATTAATAATACAATTTTAACTACATTTTTTTTATTAGATTTATTTTATTTTTTATGTTTATGTTTATTTATATTTATTTTATTTAGAAAGGGACAGTGCACATTAATGAACATGATCATGATTTCTAATTAATATTTTTAAGAATTAAACTTATTCAAAAGTTTTTAATAATTTAATAAAGAAGTGTATGTTAAGTACACTGGATTTAATGGTTTTTTTTTTTGTTTTTGTTTTTTTCTTACAGTGGTATTGAGTTGAGTATCAAAAATGTGGTATTGGTATTGACCTCTAAATTTCTGGCATCTGGTATATTAGTCATCATATGACTACCACTGATGAATATTTATCAAAAATCTTGTTATATTATAATATTTTGTGAAAGCAACAACAGTCAACCCAACAATATCATCAATGTATTTATTGAAAAATACTGTGATATTTAAATTTCTCCATATTGCCCAGCCCTAATTCTAATTCAGACTTTAATTACAGTATCACTTTCCTGTACTTTTCGTTTACTGTTGTTATTTCTTTGCAGAAATATCAAGCCTATTTACAGGTAAGACAGACTTTGCAGTCATTAGCAATCAAAAAAGGGGGTACATTTCTGCTTCCAAATGTCTTCTTGTCTATGTTGTCATGTATTACAACATTTATTTATTTTTTTGTCTTCTTTGTAGTGTTATGAACATAAATGCTTTGAGACTCCTGGACTTCCTGGGCCAAAAGGCTATCGAGGTGCAAAAGTAAGAGTCGAAAAACAAAATCAAATACATAATAAAGTCAAAAGTATATAAACTCTGTGCTTGTACTGAAGATTGTGTCATTGAAGTGTCAATATTTCTTCTTATTTCCAGGGTTTAAAAGGAGACAGAGGTCTTCCTGGGCCAAGCGGTGAAAAGGGTAGACCGGTAGGTAGAAGTTAGCATCACCATTGCACTTAAAGTACTGTGAAAACAATATTGTATCATTTTAATGCTGAGTATATTTTATTATATTACAGGGTGATCCTGGCATTGAAGGTCCGATCGGACAACCCGGTCCAAAGGTTTGCTGAAGCCCACTGACTGATGATCTTGTGTGCTACATAGTTAACTAAGTTTACATGCTTTATCTCACTAACATGTCCTTCTGTGCTCTGATATAGGGAGAGGTTGGTTTGAAAGGTGACAAGGTAAGAGATGAATCTTTATATCCATGCTTTTCTGTCCATCTGTCAAATAAGTGAAATGTTGTTGGGATTAATGGCTCTGCTTTACCTCATTAGGGTGAATTTGGAGCAATTGGAGCAAAGGTAAAATACAATTTTACTGTTATGCTTGCACATATTTTATATCGGACTGCATCCAACACTGTCAGTGTTCCCATACTGTTGTTAATTTTCTGTCGTCACTGATGTCCAAATATTCAGGGTGCGGCAGGAGTACCTGGCAAGAATGGAACTGACGGTCAAAAGGTGAGTCGTATTAAGTAAAATGTGCATTATACCATGACTCCGATCTGTTCAGTATACTAATAAGATATCGTCTTTGGGAAATTTTCAGGGTAAAATTGGCCGCATTGGAGCCCCTGGTTGCAAAGGTGATCCAGGTGACGAGGTATGTCTAGTAATTATACTAAATTATTCATCATGTTGCTCTCAAGGTTCTGTTGTTAAAGGTTAATGTGGTATATTTTGACCAAGATAGGTCCAGTTCTACTCTAACCATCTTACGTAATATATACAGATGGCTTAGTAATATCACAATCCATCAGCCATACAGCTATAAAGATTTGTTTACTAAACTTCCATACCAATTTGTTTTTGTATTTTAAAGGGACCAAATGGTTACCATGGAGAAGTTGGTGAGACTGGACCACCTGGTGACAAAGGAGAAAAGGTCCGTATTAAATACAAACTGCGATCTTTGTCTCCCCTTTAACCTATCGGCAGATAAAAACATGGGTATGATGAATAAACCAACCTGGTCTCACTCCGAAGTCTTCGAAACCTGGTGCTTGAACAGTAACTTGTGGCGTCAGACACTGACAAAAAAAGCCCATCCTGCTAATGTGGCTAAAAATTGCTAGTGCAGAATTTTAAACAGTATTATTGTCTTTTAACCCATTATTCTCATGTCATTACAAAGACACAAATTAACAAACAGCTGATAATGAAACGCTGTGACTAGCCATGTCAGAGCTCAAGGGATGGCACATTGCTAATGGCACATTGCTCACTTGGTCTGAAGTAAGTATGTATATTTCAGGGCTGTCAAGTG